ACTTTGTTCACTTCACGAATGGAGGTAATAAATAAATAGGGCAATCACAGTGAATGACTTGCCCCGGGGTTTTCTTAAACCACTCGCAATTAAATTTGACTGCATCGCGACCACGACGGGGTTAATCGAGGGTTAAATTGGCCCGCATACACTCACGAAGACCACCCCCCGCACTCAGCACCCTTTACGTCGCTTCTATTCCTGCTGGATTACTCTGTAACCAAGAAGTTGCACTAAAAATCTGTGGTGGAAAACACTTAGGTACAGCCTGAGCTTACAAAGCGGTATCTACATGTTCCGTGATAGCAAATTAAAAAAATCGAACTTACCATTGTCGTCACAAAATAAGAAGCACCTTTTGACATTTGTCATCGCATCAGGTTCAACTCACACTGGCGCAGAGTCGATGCTCGCATTAATGCGCTGGGATCACAGTTCGGTCGGCGTCAGACGCCTCAAGGCGCCCAAGTGACGCGCGAATGCTACCAAGTGTCGACGCGCGTGGCCGTTCGATTCCATATTTGCAAAACACAAATTTGTACCTTAATAATTGGAAAATATAGATGAACATGCTATAGGCGAAAAACATGACGCGTCGCGACGCTTCGCCTCTGCGCCAGTATGAGTTGAGCCTAAATAGGGATCTAAACTAAACATATTGGTTATACGAATATGGTTTCGTAATTTGCCCTCCCTAAAGGAAATAATAATAACCATATTAAACGGTTCTCACGAGAATTCGATTTGAAATTTTATGAGTGTGTAATCGCCCTGATCGCTTAGATTATTTTTCGAGTCTTTGGTTTTCAGTTCTAGATAGAACAATTAACGTTTATTTAAGAAATATAGAGTTCAATATAAACAATAAGTATTTTAAATTATCACACTGACAACCAGTAGTTAAATAGCAAATTTCTGAAGCAAAACGAAATAAGACGTCATAGTTTAAATTTTTATTCACTTTCATCGGAAGATGAACCAAAATCATCAGTTGAGCTTGTATCATGTGTATATGTAATATTTGATTTTTCAATCTTGATTATTATCAATGTGAAATCTCTGTCAAAATCGAAATCAAAATGTCAATATTTTAATTAATTGACTCAGTGAAAATGGGCAATTAATTGGTTAACACATCGTTAACACTATTAATTTAAAAAATATATACAAAATACATAACTGTTCTAAAGATGTTTCGGATTAACTCAAAATTGCGTTTTATTTAGCGAAAATAATACTTGCAATATGTACTATCATATTATATAATGCTTCAATAAAATTAATGTATTTTATTTACCCAGTGCGTTAATAATTGTTTGTTAACTTGTCTTCCTTAGCTGTCAAATTGGGCCTCTTACATTGTAACGACTATAGTTAACTTATTCTCTCATACAAAATAACATTTTCTATTTGGCCACTCACTAAGGAGCCGATTGAGCTTGTAAACATCCTTTTATAGGTACATCCTATATTTTATTTCAACTGCCAACATAAAATGCCTACAGAATGGCCTTGGTTTATGATTATTTATTGCAATATACGGTTGGAGTAAAGTTTATCAAATTGTGCCTCGTATCAAGATTTTTTGCTTCGCAAACTTATGAACGCTATTAATGTTGGACACTATAACGTATTCGGGCTTATAGTTTACCAAGTTTTGTTTGCTTTCCCAGCAAAACACGATTACCATTAGTTTTGCCTGTTTGGAATAAGCACTTATACACATAAATAGGTATCAAGAAAAATCTCTGCGTAACAACAACGTGTTGTTAGATATATAGAAATTGATATCATCTCCTCGGATCACGATCCCACACAACATTGTAAATAAGTATACTTTAAAGTCGAAATAGAATGTTACTATTATACAGGGTGTCCCACGGCTATGCGACACGGAGAGATAGCACTTTTATTGTTGAAAAAATATATATTTTTACTTAGATTATATTTTTGCTTCATGGAAACATTATTTTATTTTAAAAAATAAAAAATATTAAAACCTGTGTCTTTATGATGGCGATCGAAAGAACACCCCGGACACTCCGTACAACAGTCGAAAGTTATTTACCTACTACTACTAAATGCAGCAAGGCGCTACCTGCACACGCGCAAATGTGTGCGTGAAGTGGCAGAGTTACCCGTAGGTTACCCATCACTTTCTCGTACTATTACGTTACGCAGTCAGAGCGGCAACATAGCGAGAATTCTAACGCGAATTTGTTATCTATATTAATAGAATCCTAATATTTACACAATGTTCATTAGGTATTTATATCGATATAGTGCAACTACCTTCATCGGAACTAATTGCAGATAAATTAAACTCTAAACGTATGATTTAAGTTTTTGTCTACTTACATTATTTTTCTTAATACGCAGTGAATGGTGACGGTTGTATAGATTTTAGTGCGCTTTACTATTAAGTTTTGAAGTAAGATCTTAAATTTTCTCTGTAAGTGAATTTATATTCTTAAGAGAAATAAATACTCTTTAACAACATATAATATAGTATTTTTTATTAATTCACTAACTAGAATAATGTTGAAGATTTATTTTGTACTCTGTCAAAAGCGTCAATTATAAGAATTAATTTCTTTTATCTTTTAACATAATATCTTAAATTAAAGGAACATCATGTAATTTTACATTTAAGTTCATGAAAATAAATTATAATAGGTACGTATATTTTACTGTCGGTATTTGTATTTCAAGTTGATCCAGCTCATAATCGAATAATGGCAGAAACTTTTAATTACTCTTTCCCTTCATAGATCGGCTCTCAAGGACCGCTTAGATGGCCGGCGAGATCTTCAGACCTGGTACTATTACATTTCTTTTTCTGGAGATACGTGAAATATTTAATAAGCGCGACGTAACTTGACAATGTGGACGAGTTACAAAGGGAAATTGTGGCGTATTATTTCGAATATTCATCATAATAAGATAAGAAAATCTACGAACAACGAACTATGATAATGTTGAGCATTTGCATACAAACGTATGAATCACATTTTGAAAATTTGATAAATTAATTGCAAATACCGTACATACATTGGCAGTTCCAAGTTTTTTTTAAATAATAATAAGAAGCATTGTATTTGAACGGTGTTCTGTTTATTTAAGATACTATGTTTTAAACGAATTTGTAATAGTGCTGCTGGAGCTGGTGGCGTTCTGTTAACTGTAAAATAGCCTGTGTAGCAATAATATAGCTTGGTTCAAGGGTAGTAATAGCCCCCTCAGCCCCCGCAGCCTCCATACGTCTTACTTAGCAAGTTTTAGCAGTTGAAAAGACGAAAGTCCGGTTTATAGGAATTTATTCAGTACAACAACAATATTAATATCTTAAAATGTAAACGGCGTCCAAGAGATTTAAGTAAGTGGTAAACGGTTCAAAAATAAGAAAGGAGATGTTTTAGAGTGACGTTGGGAAGAAACAAAATCAGAATGCGAGATAAAATGGAACAATTCAAATTTTTTAATTTAAATATGAGCAGAAGAAGAAAAAACGATACGATACGAATGGAAAGAGGCGATACAAAAAGGCAAAAAGGTGGGATGACGGTGTAAGGAGGTCACACCGTCACAATTCTTATAATTAAAACTTTCGAAAGGCATCTTAAAAATTTAGGTTATCACATTTTCACATTGTTATCACATTTGGTCGGTTCTATTCCCAAGTGAGGCAAGCAACTTCTTAAAAACTTTGAATGCAGTATTACTTACTTCTAAAAATAAAATAATGTCTCCGTGAAGCAAACTAGATAAATGTACAATATTTAAAGTACTTTCCCTCCGTGTCGCATAACCGTGAGGCATCCTATATATCCTATATATATTATTATTATAAATGTAGGTCAATGTTATAAATTTATAAATATAATATTATAGGCTCTAAAATATGACTTTTTTATTATGGCAATAGTATAAATTCGGCCAATACTTGAAAATTCCTCGAGGAAATCTCAGTTAAGTAAAGTCAATCTTAAGCCACAGCTCCTGTTACAGTGCCTACCCTCGACCTTGCATACACTCATCCTTCAAGATATTTCAGTTGTTTTTTTTTTATTACATTGCTAAACATCCTCACGATTGTTAGATATAAATTACCCATATGTATGTAAAATCCACAATTTTAACAACGAGTTGTGCATTTTCGTAAGTATGTCATGTTTCTGCAATTTTCGCCTCTAATCGTTCCGAATATTACCCATGTATTTACCGCTTTTAGTAAACAATCTCTTCACAGCGTCTTCCTTCGCCGCAAAGTTTCTATGACGTCATACACAAGTTTATTGGAGAACGATATACTGCTGCTTCTGAAACTATAACTTCGGTTCAATCACTAATTGTATGCCCTAAATTCATATTGTCCACTACAGAAAACACCCTGGTGTTTTATTTATGGCTCACCTTAAGCTTTATGGACCATAAAAAGCCGTTCCTTAACGTTCGTTTCCTGGAACAAGTACCTAACGCCCTAGTTTATGTATTGTTGAGCAGGTGTCCCTATAAAAATTAAATGTCATATTTTATTTCTACTGTGGTGGTGCTCTTGCGATAAACTTTTTATAACTTCCAGATTTTATATTTTCGTAATTTTACAAAGACATGTCGTGTATTACAGTTAAGACTCTTTTGAAAATCGAAACATTGTTAAGTAGCATCATATTATATGGAACGCAGCTACATAGACGCCTACGTACGCTCATGGAAGTAAAATATTGAAATTCAGGTGAATTATAATGAGTCAAGGTAACAAATTCAAGGTGAAGAACGTATTAAAAGTTTATACTCCAAAGGCGACTAAATGATCATGTGCCTGCAATCAATTTGTCACGTCGAAATTGATGAAGTGTCAATTGACGTTATACGCCCGTTTTAACAGTAAATACAGCCTAATGACTTATTCCTTTCTGCATATTACTGAGCCAACAGTCATAGCTGTAACACGAAACCGTTAAGTCGAACGTAACGAGTCTATAGACTTTGTCGCCAAAATGTCTTACTTCACAGCTAATACCCTATTCCCTACATCAGTCGCCCCAATACCCAACGGCTTCGCAGCACAAATGCACGACAAGTCGAAACAGAAAAATATTTTTCTTGACGTCAGCCCTATGCGTACACCTTATCTGAAACCCTCTTCGACGAACGTAATTGATCCTATGAAGAATAACTTCATGACTCACACCATCTCAAAGGACGTCATCTACGAAAACATCAAGCCAGTGTTTATCTTACTTCGTATACTGGGCGTTTTGCCTTTGTCGAAGCCATCAGCAGCATTAAACCAGTTCAATTTATTATCTGCCGCCATGCTTTATTCCGTCATTGTCTTCAGCTCATTAATTGGCTACGTCATATACCTGTCCCTCTACAAAGTTCAAATCTTGCGCACTACTGATGGAAAATTCGAGGAAGCTGTGATCGAGTATCTTTTCACTGTGTATTTGTTTCCAATGATAGCGATTCCCATAATGTGGTTCGAGACGAACAAAATAGCTGGCGTGCTTAACAGCTGGATCGATTTCGAGGTAATATAAAAAGATATTCTTTGACTCAAATTGTAAAATGTACTAATGATGTATCGCTTAATTTCAGATTGCTTACAAGCAGCTGACTGGTCGTATGCTCATAATAAGGCTGTACAGAAAAGCGCTTATAATTGCGGTCGTTATCCCGGTTTTATCAACTACTTCGGTCATAATAACCCACGTGACCATGGTTCATTTCCAACTCATGCAGATCATCCCTTACGTTTTCTTAGAAATACTGACGTACATTTTAGGAGGTTATTGGTATTTGCTCTGCGAAACATTGAGTGTTTGCGCCAATATTGTGGCTGAGGATTTCCAAATAGTAAGTACAAAATACATAATAAGCGCTTCTGCATTTAACCTACAGCAATCCTGCTGTGATCCTTAACTATTATTTATACACAAAGCTTCATTTCGGACAAATATCCATATCGTGTTAGTAAAATATTTCTTACAAACTATGTTAATAACGAAAAGTATTTTTTTGACATAAATTACACCTACAAGCGCAGTGCTATAATACTCGTCATACCAGTGTATACGATTCATATGGGTCCATTCAGTATAGGGCCGTTCGTCCCGCTCGGCCACCACCTGGGTTCACCCTGTGCATCAGAGGCAATAAATACACTTCCGGAGTATACGGTATGAAAGCCGTCAATGCGCGCCACAGCGAACAATACAGAGGCACCACCAACGTACCGTACTGGACGCGCTGGGCGTGATACGATCTGTTTGTACTTGCCAAAATGCTTTAAAAATCATGAGCTTTAAGTCTTAATAAAACTGCACCTTACAACCTACGCCCTACGCGCTCCTTGTCAACACCAGTGCCCCAGGCACTTGATTGGACTGCGAAACTCAAGTCGGCTAGTAATACTTCAAAGACACTTATGCCCTGTATTGAAATTTAGCAACACGCTTTTCTTCACATTGTACATGAGTTCGTCAGTTTTTACGTTTTTTTCCTATTAGTACAGATTGAAAAGTTATTATATAATGTAATTCTGCCTTCAATGCATATAGGCACTTCGTAATATTGGACCTGCTGGAAAAGTAGCCGATTACCGTGCATTGTGGCTGCGATTAAGCAAACTAGCTCGAGACACCGGAATTGCGAATTGCTACACGTTTACATTCGTCAATCTCTACTTATTCCTGATCATCACTCTTTCTATCTACGGCCTACTCAGTCAGATCTCCGAAGGTTTTGGCACCAAAGATATTGGATTAGCGATGACAGCATTTTGCAGCATTTTCCTCTTATTTTTCATATGTGACGAAGCTCATTACGCTTCTCATAATGTAAGTTATCCTCAGTAGTTAACAGTGTTTTCTGAAAATCTATACCTGCATTTATTTACATCCATAATTTTACGGCAGAGCTATTATATATTGTCACTGTTCGTTCGAAACTCTTTAGTAACAAATGAGCCGAGATAATAACAGTCATTTAATAACACGTTTTTACCAATATCATGATTGATACTATAAATATCCCACATTTTTTTTGTACTAAAACTATAATAAAGAAACTTAATGTATTTTTACTTAATAACTTATTATTAACTTAATGTAATTTATAATCTATAAACACTATATCGATCAGATATTTTTCCAACTCTGAACTGTCAGACCTTTGGGAAAATTTCAATTTTGAACACAGATATTGCAATAGAACTAGAAACTCAATAACCAAGTTCTACAATTGCAGGTGAGAACGAACTTTCAGAAGAAATTGTTGATGGTAGAGCTGACGTGGATGAACGCTGATGCGCAAACAGAAGTGAACATGTTCCTTCGAGCAACTGAAATGAACCCTTCTCAGATCAGCCTGGGTGGTTTCTTTAACGTCAATCGCAACCTCTTCAAATCCGTACGTACCTGACTTGTTCTGTTATAGAACTTTATATTCTAGCATTATTCAATATCGAATCGAAGCTTATGTGACAGTCAGCCCCTCATGCCCTTTCACCAGCATGCTGGAAGACCAGTAAATAGACCAATAGTAGTATTAGAGCTCCTTGTGAAAGAGTTCGTCCAAGGTAGTACTGCCACCTTACCTATTTCTGCCGCCAAGCAGTAATGTCAATATTAGTGTGTTTCTGTTTTAAAGGGTAAGGGTTATGTCTCAGGGTATCGGGCGCAGTGGCAGTGCCCCTCAGATCTTTGCGAGTGAAAGCTTTGAGTGGCACTGCCACTGTTATGGACAGGCATGCAGCTTACCATCAGGCGCACGACTTGCTCGTCCCATCACTAGAAATCTTAAAAAAAAACCTTTTCAACGCCACATAAGCAACAATAGGTGTAACTAAATGCTGAGTCTGAAAAATGTAAAAACACAGTCACAGTTTTTCTAAAATAAAGCCCATGCCATAATGGCCGTAAATGTTTTCAACAGAAAACCTACTCCGAAGTCAAACCTACATATGTGCTTAAAAGGGTGCATAGGCAGCCGATGTAGAAAGTATATATATACGGTATAGTCTTTAAGTATGTATACCCATGCGATTATTCCGTCAATATAAGGGATATCAAAAACCTTTAAACTGATATCGAAAGTACGTTATCTAATGAGTAAAACGACATCAATAAGTTATTTTAAATAAAGTTAGTAGTATCAAAAATTAATAATAAATTAGTAGTAATAAAAATATTTAATATTATATTCACGGAATAATCGCCTGGGCACACTTAATGATTACACCCCGTAGACCTAAGTAAACCACATTTGTCAAACGTATGTAGTTCATGAGTGTCCGCCGCAGAAAAAAGATTTGACTATCTACCAATTATCGACCACATTCGTGGGTTGGCTTGTGGATCGAACGTCGCCTTCACTGACAATCACGAAAAATAAATAAACGATTAAGTACCAATCGAAAACATGACTAATTACCCGCACTGCTTTCAGCTACTAGCGACAATGGTGACCTATCTAGTGGTACTACTCCAATTCCAGATCAGCATCCCAGAAGAGGGTCGAGAACAATCGGATGAGACCTTCTCTAATGCAACGGAACCAGTCACAGAGACGACAACCACTTTTACCACTCTCACCTCTATGCTAACCACAATTGTGAAGAAGAAAAAGAAACATTAAGTTCAATTTGTACCACACGTTACTTTTTGATATACTTTTTGGCGGTTGATAAAATTTTGCTCTAATTTGACTGAAAATCCGCATGTGGGATTTTCTATGGGTGTTAATAATAGTTTGCAGGTCCAAAATTTACGTTTCGCCATTTTTCAATATGGCTGCCATTAACGAGCTATGATAATATTTTAAAACAAAGTCTATGTGCCGAGGCAGTAGGCCGAGGTCGGGCAGAAGGCGAAGCCCGACGCTCCCCCACACCACCGTAGATTCGTAAGTAATATATACAGGCTCTATTACAAGTACAAGATCGCACAATTATTGAAAATGTAAAGCATACTTCCCGATGTAGTGGAAATGAGATACATATTGCGTTGTTGTATCTCGACCGTCTCTCTGTTAGATCGCAAAAAGAAGTATTTAGGGGAAAAATCACACCAAATTTCTCATCACAAATAAGGACATTTCATTTTACATTTCAATTGTACAAATTACGTGGTCGTCCTTCCCAGTGGACTATTCAACTTTTGGTGGCCAAATTCGAGTCGACCGGTTCAGTGAAATCTTAGCCAACACCAGTTCGTCAACGAAACGCAAGATCTGCCGAAAACATCGATGCTGTTTGTGAGTGTTCTGGAGAACCCTAGGCAGTCTATTACGCGCATCGTTGCCTGAAAAATTTCATTGAAAGTTTAATTGAAAAATAAACAACAGATTTGACAAAAGCAGTCTCAACAACATGGCCGTTATTAATTGTCAATATCTACGCACCTTGATAGAAAACCCTTTATTAGGTGATATTTAACTTGTAGTAGGCACTCAGTTCTTCTCCTGCGTAGTAAGTTTCCCATTTCAGCTAAATATAACGCTATCCTCGTAAAAATAACGTACAGATTCTGAATGTAACAAACTAATCGGATTTATTAAAGTACTGGGCCCGTGAGATCTCAGCGCCCTTTCATATCCAAAATATTTACAAACAAGATTCGAACCCCAAGGATTGGCAGATATTTTGCTTAATGTTCAACACCCTACTACGTGGACCCAATTTAATCCTTTTAATCTAAACCTAGTATTTCCTTAAGTTAATCCTAACGTATTTTATTCCTTTGTTTCCTTTGTCGAATAGTTAACTACTTCCATTAACGACTTAGGTACCTAATACTTTCTCACGTGTTAAGCTGTTAAGTCATACAAAATATCCTTTTAAATAAAATAGAATGGAATAGAAATCATTTATCTGTAAAAGACACAGTACACAAACATTACTAAAAAAATGCACAACAGTTTGCAACTACAAAACTAGAAGCAAAAGTGAAAGCACAGCATGAGTAAATACAAACTATTTAACAATTTACAAGAATAAAGCTAAAGAAAAAAAAATAATATTAAAAAAAAACAGTAGAAAACTTAAATAAATAATTAAGAGGGAGCAGAGGAAATATTCCTAATCTTCGATTTAATTTTAGAGGGGTATATCCACTTTAAAGTTAAAAATAAAATATTGTATGAGTAACCACACAATATATTCAAGCATAGACATTAATCAGAAACATAAAACAATAAAGTTTCTTCGATAGATAAAAATCACGAAACGACCTCTAATTTTCAAATTTTTTCGATTTATTCTCGAATTGCTACAGGTTATTAGGACAAAAATTAGATAATTAATTATATTTATGCATGATCGACAACTGTCACTACGGATTTTTTTAATCCCTTTAGTTTTAGAGTTATTCCGCTAAAACGAATTTGGTACTTTTAATGCGCAAAATTCAACATCTCCTGTCGCATGTCACGCGAACTTCAGGCATATATTTGTTTCACAAATTTGGGCGGAGCCAACGTCAAAACTTTTTTGGCATGAGAGCTCTTAACGAATAATTATTAACAAAACTGGCAGCGTGTGCGCTGTGCCGTGACAGAATCCGTCATCCACACAGCCTACTATCGTCTCACTGAAGGTGCTACGAGGCTGCTATATAGTGGTTTCGATAACAGTAATGCGCATATCACATAGCAGATGTTTGCTTTCCATTTCCGACTTTTACATTCATTTACCTTTTTTATGAGAAAAGAGAATCCGCTTTAGTACGAACTGAGAACGAACCTTGATAACGCAGAAATAGAAAACTATTAGACCGCAAGTTTGGGGCATCAGTTGTCGTTTGGAACATAGACGCTACGCCGCCGCTAAACTTACTGACTTGTATGTGCAGCGGAAGCTTGTCCTGCGCGCAAGCGTACATTGCAAACGCCTTGAACTTGAACGCCCCGCTGAACGCACGACCTTTGCGAATTATGTCCGTTAAGGGTGGCCATATATGGCCTACTCGAGCAGTTAGTCAATGATCAACATACACGGACCGCTCTTGCAGTCATAGTCAACAGCTTGAGGCTGCCATTGATAACTACTGGAGTAATTGATACCAACTGCAGCAGTTGGTCTCAACTGCTCAACAAGTCACAATTTCAATTTCATTCAAAACAGTACTAACTTGGATTTTGGGGAAAATGTACTATACTACTGCTACTTTTTCTCAGACGACGAAGGCGGCGGCGTAGAAATTGCTGCTGCGAAAATGCGCGCGTGAAGTGGAATGAAGAGCGCGGGCGGAGGAAACTGTGCGAGAGCAGTCGACAGCTCGAGCAGTCAGTGTATGCCTGGCGACTGCTTGACTGCACGATGCGATTTCACCGCGCTGCAAATCGCCCGAAACAATCGCAACTGCTCGAGCGGTTTGGTGTATGTACATAGAAGACTGTAGTTCGCAATGTGGTCGCAGCTTGAAGCATTCGATACTAGCTGCTTCAAGCTGCCCGTGTATGGCCGGCCTAAGGCGTTTTCGACGCAGCGTTTGAATATTGGAGTGTTTTCGCATTTCGACGTTCATAAACAAGTGGAATTTCACTCAGTGTAACAAGATTTGCCAGTGGTAGAAGTTGCGTGTGGTTATAAGTATAGAATGGGAAGATATTGACATGTATTTAGAAGAAAACGCTTTTTAGATATGATTAGTTTAATTACAGAACTGACTGCACGATATGGCTTGTTTTATTTAATGAATGTTGATTTAATACTGATGATTTTAAATCCATGTCTCTGGCCGTGTGTTTGCACTTCTCTTATTATCATTTCGAACGACATTATGACAAGATACTTTTACTATACTACGCTCTAGCGAAAAATAGTTGCGCGCACGCTGCACGTCCCGTCCACGCTCAATGCGATCCGTCCCGTGCCGTACGCCCCACAGATGCGAATTTGCGACCTAATGCCGGGTGCACGAGTCTTTCACTTGCGTTTTTCGCTTGCTTGCGTGACTCGTTTTGCGCATACGCAAAGATCTGTCATGTGTGCGCAGGTAGGACTGTTCACGACTCGCTCGCTTGCGCCGGTCGCTTGCTTTGCGTTGGATTCCTTTGCGTTGCGTGTGTTTGATGTCTAGCATGTTTGATATTTTCACGCAAGCAACAGAGAACGTTTGCGGAGGACAGCACCACTGGCCAATCACAGAGCAGCAGCGTCCACGCGTCCAATAAAACCAAAACAGAGACAAGGCGAAGCGCATGCGCGCAAGTCTCTCCGCAACGCAAAGCGGAAGACTCGTGAACGCCTTTGCGCGGAAGGCAGATTTCTATGCTATGACCCAACGCTAACGTAAGCAGACGAAAAACGCAAGTGAAATACTCTTGCATAAGCGTGCGTGTCGCGGGCCGGCGAGTGCCAGAACCAAATTTGCTTAAAGTACTGAGGGCCTACCACAACCTCTTAAATTGGCGTCATACTACGAACTGAGTGATTGAATAGTCACAGTACAAGGCTGCCAATAAAACATCATAGTTTTAACATTGTAATAAGCTTACTTTAAACGCGTCATGGTACAAAAAGTCAATGTAAGGTTACAGTAATATTGTTTTATGAGGTTGTGGTAGGCCCCAAGTACTTTAAGCAAATAAATAAAAACGAATGTTTGTAAAAGATTAATGAATCAAAAAGTTATAGGATTTCCCATTGACCAGGTCAATGCTACAGAAATTACTCGAGTGTAAACTCAATAAATAGGCAAATACAATATGCACATATATTATAACATCTTATCAGAAGCGTTTACTGTGTGTACATACAAACAAAAAGGATGGTAATTACTTAGCCTGGTGTTGCGAGGAGGACAAGCGAAGTTGTAATAAAAGTTCCGGGCAATCAATTTGCCCCGAAATCAAACGGTATAGAGAAACTTGATCGGCAATCCAGCGACGACGTTGAAGGGTGCAATTTCAAAAGAATTTAGTCTGTTTTCGCATCTCTTCAATCAGCTTCCGTTGGTGGACCGTGACGAAAAAAATAAATCGCTTTTGTACAGTTTCTATGTGATTTATTCCATTTCGGTGCAGATGTTCACAAACGGGAGATGCATATTCTAAATTAGTACGAATTAGGGCGTAATAATACATTTTTAACATAGTGATACTTTTAAAGGACTTACAATCCCTTAGATTAGTGAGATTTATTAATGATTATGTGAACGTGATCATTAAACGAAAGTGAGCTGTCAAATGTCTCTGATATGGGTGACCTCAATAAGAATAGGAAAATGGAACTCTTTTTTGTAAATTTAATATGCCTACACTAAACTTTTTGATATTTTAGGGTAATATTAATATTTTAGGGTAACAAGTTTTGCTATCTCTAGTCCAGACTGAAGAGACCTTTTTGTAGCAAAGTTGTGACATATAAACCATCAATGGTTCTGTACATTTTTAAGTAACCTGCACAAAAGATAAATTTGGAATGTTTGATTCCACTACCGAGGTCATTAATAAAAATAAGGAAAGAAGAGGACCAAAGTGGAAACCCTGGGTAACCCCCGAGGACGCGAGAAAAGGGTATGATTCGTAACTACCAACCATCACTTTTAAAAACTTATTTACTTACTTAATTACTTTTGTGTTGCGTAGACCGAAGCAATCCAATTTCTTAAGAAGTAGTGCATGGTCCAGTCGATCAAAAGCCTTGCTAAAGTCCGTGTATCTAGCATCGACTTGTCGACTTTCATCTACGCCTTGACAGAGATCCAAGGTATAACAAGCCTAAACGATGGTAGTGGACATATTAGAACGAAAACTATCTTACGGATTAGGAAATCAAGACGGACAAGGTGATAATTTAAAACCAATTATAGCGTCCTAAAATCTATGAAATTGTTCAAGAATAAGAACTTTTGACGTTGATCTTGACATGTATAACACATATGTGTCAATTTAATTTATTACGATTGCTGACACTTTGTATGTGCCACGAATTTTTTATTGTTCCCTGTTGTGTTTTCTGTTACTTATTTGTTTTTGGTATTGTTTTTATTTGTTGACTTTTACTTTGTTTTGTTTACTTTGGCAGTTATTTAGCCATGCTGAAAAGACTCAAAAAGATAGTCCTCAGGAGTCAAGTGCGGTAAATTGTACTGCGTCTACGTGATTATATTGTCCGCGAGAATGAAAATAATGGACCCCTCCTAAATCATCGAAAACTTTTTATTGATTTACTTCATCTCTAGCAAATGCAGTCTAATGAAGTCACTTTGTACGTTGTCGTAAAGATAAATAAATTATTTTTTTTTTAATTGTTTCTCTGCACATTTCTCACTAGTTTGGTATTACTTTTACTTTAATTTGATGTATTTGCTTAAACAAAATTTATTTACTTAAAAGCGAGACTTATAAAAATAGTTTATGAAATACGTAAATTAGTGAGTGGATGTCGTTACAAGTTTATATTATGTAGAATTTTGTGAAGTGCCACAGGGATCATCTTAGAAAAATAGTAGTTATAATCCACATTATACTTGGGGATAATTAAAATCGCCAAAAAGGAGTACTTTATCATTGTCAACAGATGATAATGTGTTATACTTAAGGAATCCAAATATTTATCTAGAGAAGTTGCTGTAATAGAAGGAGAGATACATACTGCGTAGCTTAGCACAGCACAAAAATTAAGATACAAACACCCAAAGTTTTTCAACGCTACTCTCGAGATGTGGAAGACGGGTTGAGTTTAATTTATTAGAAACGCCCATCATTACGCCACCGCCATCAACTTTAACGCTTGTCCATTAGTCGCGATCTCTGGGATAATTTAAAACTTCAGCATCTAAGACACTATCCTTCAGCCAGGATACGAGCTTAGCCTAAAGTTCCCGATTCTTCAGTGACAGGTGTTCGGCAATGTAGATGCGTTGTTTGCCCCCACTGATACCCAGTGTAGCGGAGTTGAGTTTATCATCGTTGCCTTGTTATACTTAAGGCATTCAGCCAGCAGCTCGTCGCGTTTCCTAGGAGAGCACTGCTTTACAACCACCACTGATCGTGATCGTGATCAGTTTCTACTGTACTGTACTTCAGATCGTTGCTACTGTAATAAGTACATTAGAATAATATATTTTGTTTGAAAAAAAACAAATATCATTTGTAATTTAATTAGCAATTCTTTTAATTACCTACTTATATTTACAAGATGAACTATTGCGACACTTGCACATGGAAAAAGTATTCTTCTTAACACAGAAGCACTTCCTATTATCATAGATATTGCTTTGTCCACCTACATTCAACAAATTCTATTCATTTCCTCATGCACGTTCGGCGTTGTATAGAATACCTAGACGAAGTGTATATTATAATGCAGTTTATTTCATACATTGACTGACTGTTTTAAGCATCGCATTATTACATTGCCGATAACATACACGTTATTATCGGCAATGTATTTAACAAATGTTATAAAGTCTTTCACACGCTTTGATTATAGGAGCGTTAAGTGGCTTTTCCACCGGCGAGGCGACACGAGAATTGAAATTCTTATGGCAAACTGTCAATTCTCTCCTGGCGCATTTCCGGTGGAAATGGTCTGTATTGGATTGACGAGGACAGACGAGGCGAGAATTGCTGTCTACATAGTGTACTCTGCAACGGAAACACGATTTCTCGCGTAAGCTCGCGTTGGTTACTGATATCAATCACGAGATTATGGTGTACAATACACGTTGACACATTTTCGAATATAATGTAAATATTAGATATTTTAACCTTTTGTTACGTTCCGAAATATGTAATTATGACATAGTGTTAAAAAAATTATACATTTATTTCAGAGAAAAGTAAACAAACTACAATCAGTTAAAAATATACACTCCCGTTGATTCTTATATATGCATCAATATCATTTCATGAATATTTTTACAATACATTTTCATTATAATGTATATTTATAATTACGATTTATAATTAAAATATATTATAATTAGGATTGTGGTTTATCATAATTATGTAGCCACTTATTACAAGTTCAGAATTTCTTCGATTTTGTCGTTTTAATGGTATCGTTTTGAAAAATATGAATACACAATGTAGTTGCAATACAGGTAATGCATACATACTAGCGCCAGTTGTAAACTTTTTTGTGTGTATTTTGAAAGCTCGGGCGGCAACAAAGTCAGTTTTATTCTGTAAACTACCCTCAAATTTTTGTGTTGATAATCACAAGTGATCGGTAACTGGGTAAGGCCGTAAAATTGGGCTCACGTAATAAAAACATACGTAAATGTTTTAACATAATAGTGTTCTAAAGGCAGGTCTACAACAAAAACATCTATATTTTTAATTTGCAAATTACTTATTTGAAAATCTGCTAAATTTTAGGTGAATTTTTGTTATTAATTAGTATTCAATAAATCACATAACGTCGCCTTAGAATGGAAACCTCGCATACCTCGCGTACTGATTTTTCTTGAAGAAAAATTTATAAACTTCTTGCTCAAATATACAAAGAACATAATATCTGAAAGAGGTTTAATTAAAATGCTATAAATATTATTGCGTTTACTACATTTTCCACCACATTTTTATCTTCGTCTTGAAAAATTACGTAAAAATCACATTTGTTCTACACTTATGTTTGTTAGACATTTTGTTCTAGAATCATTGCGATCGCACTCTAAAAATATTTTATTTCAATTCAGAAACACAGTTTAACAGATGATTATAAATTCGAACTACTGGCAGAAGTGTCTTGTGTATTTTAACAGTAAAGTGTTCACGGTGAAAATAATCATTTTCAATCTTTTTAGAAAAAAAATCTGCTGGACGCTTAAACAAGACGAAAAAATGTCATTTTTGATGGCCTTACCAACCTAAGCTGTCCAATTCAGTGTCTTTATGGTGCAGCACAAATGAGATGAATCTTTAGTATTATCTTGATAAATTATTCTAATTGCAGACACAATTTATTTTTTAAATAGAAGGTTATTGAAACCATTATTACTTGGTATAGATAATAAATTATGTAAAAAAAACTACTTTTTCGAAAATGTCTCAGACCAAGAGTGTATGAGTGTAACTATAGTTTTCACTGATTGTACTTTGTTTGCTTTTGTCTGATATGTAAGTATGTGTATTTTTTTTTAAAAGGTTAAATACTTTTCAACGCGACCCAAGGTATATCCTACTTACTTATTTTTGAAATATCTAACATTTACATAATTATATTCGAAAATGTGTCAACATTTACATTTGTACGTAGGATTTAAGATTTAAAAAAATGATGACTTCATCTGATTCTTCTTATGTTAAGTAATATATTTCATAACAATAATAATAACTTAAGGAACATGTTACTTCAGAACCGAACAGCATTTAATCGAATCGTCACTGTACACAAGACCACAACGCGAGCTCGCGCGAGCTATTAATGCCAATTTTTACAAGAAATAGTCCTCTATTCTCGTCTCGTCTCGCCTCACCGGTGGAAAACCACCTTTATAACGAAAGAATTACATAATTACCTACTACGTTTAGTTAGATGATTAAGTTCACTGAAAGGTCAATATTTTTTTTCTATAATGGGGTCACAGCTTACAAAACTGCAAAGAGGCTTAAATACACCACCAACCTCAGTAATTATTTCCTTTGTATTTTACGGGCCAAAGGCAAAACTGCTTTCCAAAGAAGTTTCAGTTTGTCTCAAATTACATAATTCTGGTAATGACTGCAATGTTTTTGAATTAATCCCATTAGAAAATCATAGATTATATTAATACATAAAGTGCATAAAGCAAAAAATTAATATCGTGATACTAGGCGGAAATCTAGTATCCAAGCTTCATAATTCAAATTAAAAAATAATTAAAGCGTTCCATTGCACAAAATAATCGATTCTATGTTTTTCTTGTAAATGTACGTGCAGTGGTCTATTATATTATCGAAGCCCCACACTCACGATAAATTTTATACAAAAGATATCATGGTGGATTATCTCTTTCTCCTTTTTAACTACGGGTTAAACTAAGATGGAGACATAGAATGTCACACCGTTGCTAGTGAGTTAAGGGTTTCGTGCTAATATCGACGCTTTACAAAAATGTTTGTCTTATCTGAAATGGAACGAAAGGAACGTTAGCTTTATTTTATCTGTGCGTTTGTAAATCGTGATTCGTGAACGTTCCGGAGAATTTTCGTGGAATAGGAAATCATTATTTATTGTGAAAACAACAAGTGTCGCGTATGCAACTACGTTTTCCAGCTTTGCAACAATGGTGGATTACAGCAAGTGGAAGGATATTGAGGTTTATCTTTTAAAATTAAATTATTTCTGCTATGCGGCTCTAAATATTCTGTACTTACCCACTCCCGAATGAGATCCATCTTTGTATCCACGCTGTTTTGTATAAACGTAATGGCCGTGATCAATAATTTCACGAACATAAATGCTATGTTCTGAATTTTCAGATTTCAGACGACGAAGACGAAACCCATCCAAACATTGATACACCATCGCTGTTTCGATGGCGTCACCAAGCCCGCGTCGAACGCATGGAAGAACGTCGTCGTGAGAAAGAAAATCTTGAAAACCGCAAGAAAGACAACTTCCAAAAGCTGTCTGAAACCAGGAAGAAACTCGCCGAAGCTGGCTCCACCGACCTTACCGAGCTGAAAAAAGCTATTGCACAACTGGAGAAAGAAGAGAAAGAAATACTCAAGAAAGAAGATGAATTGAAAAAGAAAGAAAAGCAGACACCATGGAATGTTGACACTATCAGCGAGCCTGGTTTCACAAAGACTGTGATAAATACAAAGGCTCCAAGGCCCAGGGAAGAGAACTTGACTGAAGAGCAGAAGGAGGAAAAGATGAAAAAATTCATTAAGGAGAACGAAAAACTCCTGAAACAGTTTGGTATGCTGCGAAGGTATGACGACTCCCAGAGATTCCTGCAGCAGCATAGTCACCTGGTATGCGAAGAGACTGCCAACTACTTGGTCATTTGGTGCATCAACTTGGAGATGGAAGGGGTATGTTTTCTTGAGGACTGGAGAAGAGTAGTTTGGTACATTTAGTGCGCAAATACTTTGCTCCATTCCATTGCAGTACTCATAAATAATTGTAGCTTTTCTGCATTCAAGCAAGTGGGTACAGCCATAGTCAGTAATGAGAACAAGAAGCCCCAGGTTTTTATTTGGGGAATTACAGCCAAGTTAACCTGCATTCAATCACACTATTCATGTGCAAGTGTGATAAAAAATAATGCTTATGGGCCATTGACTTACAATTATATGGACGTCGGGTCCGCGCTAAAAAGTGTCCGCACTTGTAAGGCGCTAAAATCGTATACAGAGCGCGATACTGTGATGACATAACAATTTAAATTTCGAATAGGTTGACTTGGGACATTTTTTTCGTGGTTTTTGTATTAGACCCGTCGTCCATTTATTTGTAAGTCAATGTTATGGGCAATACAAATTTCAACCTTCGCAATACTATATGACAAGACATGGGCTCTGTGGCAGATTATATTACCATCTTGCTTGAGCCCTACTTGCAAGTAAGGTTTTATATAGTCAAACTTATGCTCTTTTTATAAAAATTTTAATGTTCTGTTGTTGACAGAAACATGATCTAATGAGTCACGTGGCTCACCAGACTATCTGCATGCAGTATATCCTAGAGCTCTCCAAGCAACTTGATGTTGACCCCAGAGCTTGCGTGGGTGCTTTCATTTCCAGGTCAGTATTAAAGCCGTATTTCTATCTCACAAATTACTTCAACCAATATCATTAACACAGTTGATATCTGTATCTAGTATACATTTTAAAATTTGCCAAGTTAGTTTAAGCATCATGAATATAGCAAGCAAGCATAGCAGCTAGACAAAAAAAAGTGATTGAGGACCTAAATTCCTCTTTCAGAAACCCTCTTCAAGACACCTTATATTGTATACCTTGCAGTAAACTTGAGAAATTTGCCCTCGGTGCGGTATTATTGAGAATCAATAACTGTTCATAATTATAATAATAACACTCAACATAGCCCCGCCTAAAGAAACCCCATGTCGCGGGTGCCATGGACACAAACATTGACAACCACAAATTACACCCAAACTCACAAGAGAAATAAATGTAGGCCAAACAAATATTCCTGCCAGGCTGGGAATCGAACCTGGGACCTCTGCGTGACAGTCAAATGGTAACCGTTCCATGGAGGCAGTTGATTTCACAGTTCATTGTATTTAATATACTAATATTTCTCTAATCCACAGGATTCAGGTATCTGAAAAAACCTACAAGGATTCCTTTGATGATGAGCTAGAGCAGTTCAAAGAGAGGATCAAAAAGAGGGCTCATGAAAAGCTGCAAGAGGCCATACGTGAGCAAGAGGAGGAAGAAAGAAAGGCCAGACTGGGACCTGGTGGTCTGGATCCTGTAGAAGTCTATGAAGAATTGCCTGATGTGTGTTTTACTAATTTTCATATTAAACCATAGCCACCCTAGCTTCAGTTTCAAATCCCAGATCAGATCTACTGCATTTGTCTTTCGTAAATAGAGATTAAATCGACATAGTATTATAACTTCAATAATATTTAAAACTGAATTTACATTTAAACCATGTTAAGGAATATTAAAGGGTTTTGATTTCATTTCATTTCCTTTGAAACGAAAGATAAGCACAATGTGGCATTATCATTATTAACTGTTATCTAGCTAGTGAAACAGTGATAACTAACAATTCATCATTACAGGAACTCAAAAAGTGCTTCGACGCTCAAGATGTGCCCATGCTACAAGCCACTATTGCAAAGATGCCAGAACAAGAAGCCATCTACTACATGAAAAGGTGTGTTGATGCTGGTCTCTGGGTGCCAGGAAAGAATGATGACGAGCCTACAATGATGGAAAATGCAGGTGCTGCTGCCACAGGGGCTGCTTCCAACGACCCCACCCCAGCCACCAACAGCACCACTGACAATGTTGATTGAATTGTCGTGAATACGGAATGCAAATCAACATTAACATTTTTACAAATCTATGTCAACAAGTATCGTAAAGTATCTTTTTTTTTAATCAACTTTTTGGCAACATTAAGTCGTATGTCAAGTGTAGTAACGAATGTATGTTTTAATGTGTATGTACCTACAGTTCTCATATTCGTATAATTTATTAGTTAAAGGTGATTGATTGCCCATATAAAAACCATGAGAAAAATGTACCCTGACAAAGTTACCTATGTGTAGGGACAGATTATGAAATCATTCTTGATATTAAGATTTTTTAGAATAAAAAGTTTATACTTATAACTTGGTATCTCTTATTAATATAAGTCTAGAAGAACCCTGCCTTTTATCTAAAGCGCACGCCACAACGCGAGCGAAGCTAGGTTAGCTTTAGCTCACGTAACCGCGGCATGTTTTCATACATCTATTCACACCGCGAACTAAGCTAACCGAGCTAAGGTCGCATAGTTTATTGCATGCAGCTACGTGAGCTGACTTCGCTCGCGGTGTGGCCTAACTTGGTCAGTCATCGCCACGTTGCTTGCAAACAGCACGCTACATAAGGGCACTTCGACACGAATTTCATCGCGCGGTCGAAGAGCGGAGTCAGCGTTGCCACCGCGCAGCGACCGGTGTGCGTCTAACTGTCACGGCAAAATACGTTCTATTCGTTTAGCTTTTACGTTTTAATTTAAATGAGCGTTCCGAACACGCGGGATACCCTGGCCTGAATTTAGTCTGCGCGGCGGCCGGGCGGTAATTTTATTGAGAGGAATTTAGATGTTGCATAACAAATAGAAATCAGATTCGCCATTAATGTACATGATGGCGTGGTAACTGGTCGGTCGCCGCGCGAAAATTTTCTTTCGTGCGCTCGCTCGCTCACGCTAACTGAGCAGCAAACCTATTCGCACTCGCTAGTAATTTCTTTATATTAGGAATTTGGTTATTACATTTTGTTTATTTTGAATCTCCATTCAAAACAAACGTGGTAAGATCCAGTCAATAATACAAATGACCTGTTAAATTATAAAAAAAGGCAACAACCCACTTCATGGCGTAATAACGCTGTTTGTTAGTGTAGTTTATTTTAATTTTAGCTATCCAGAATAATTTTTTTCTTCTCTTAATAATCTTAACGTGGTTTCTTAGAATGGCAGCAATTCCAGGTATTGATTTTAATAGAATACCTATAATGGCGTCAAACTGGATATTTTTAGACGACCTCCGTGGTCGAGTGGCTTGCACACCGGTTTTCAGGAGATCCTGGGTTCGATCCCCAGCCGGGTCAGTGTAGAAGCTAACTTTTCTATATTGTTTCGGGTCTGGATGTTCGTGGTACCGTCGTTGTTTCCGATTTCCATAACACAAGTGCTTTGGCTACTTACTTTGGGATCAGAACGATGTATGTGTTGTTTAATATTTATTAGAGTTAACGAAATGCGGACTAGTAGGATTTAGTCCTGTTAATTAACTATCTGTATATGTAATTAAATCGTAAAAAAGGCGAAAGAAATTTTAAAATTCAACACTTCCTATTGAGGACACGCAGCTAGGTCCAAAACAACAATAATTAGTTATACGATCTATGCGTTTGTATACTCTCATCTCCACAATAGCTGAACCAATTAGGATGTGCTTTTCGGTGATATAATTGGTATAAGTTTAGGCTGGCATTTAGAAATAAAACAAGTCTGAACAAAAAGCATGCGCTGACCAAATGGTTGAATATGTGAAAATAGATGTACAGTCCACAGCACATCAACAGTTTTGTTCTTCAGAGTAACGGGAGCAAAATCCGTCAATGCTTGATATGCAGCCATCTGTACTTAACCTAGTTTTTATATTTAAGTTACAATAACGTCCTTTAAGATTGAACTGAGAAATTAGAAGATTATGTTATGTGTACTAAAAGTAATCATTTTGTTATTTAGAAAATTTCATGAGGAAAAATTGTTACCCTTTATAACATGTTATTTGGTTACATAGTTTAGGAGGAAGGATAATAATGCAGGTGATATATTGTTTGTCTGTATGAAAATCGCGAGCACAGCTAGTAATAAAATAAAATGCAAAAATAAATTTTTTAAACTTGTACTTTTATATAACAAAACTACAATAGGAAGGGAGAATCAGGATAAGCACGCTACGTCAGCACGTGAGGCGGCAGTTGCGGTCGGGCCTCAAGCTTGCTGTAGTCCAGATGGAACTCCTTGGTGACCTGGAAATGTTGTTTCAGCATTACATCTCACTATGTCACATATAAAAGGAATGTCCTATCAAGCGTGTTTATGAGAATCATTACCAGTTGTAGTTAGATCAAATTAGCCGACAAGACTATTAGGGTTTTAAAAGTATTATTGAATATCAGCAATGCCTTTCATTAAATTCTTATCTAAAAAAAATAAGGAGTCGTCCGACCTTTACCTTGCGCCAATTGTGAGCGTCGAAAAAGTAGTAGGTGCCGCGCTCGTAAGTAGGGGTCTTCTCCAAGGTTGGCATGCCCGGGGCTTGAGAGATCCACACCTTCTCCTCCATATGATATCGCCATTCCCGGTTGTATCTGTTAAAATTATGTAAATTATTAGAAGATATGTAACAAACAGCAAGAAATGTTTAGTCTTAAGAGAATAATCTTATTCCGGCGCCAATGGCGTTGGATCATATTGGCCCGATTTACAACGGGCATGATTTTGTTTTACGCCGATTGCACAATTTCAACGTTTGAGATTTTCAACGCAGCCAAGTAATACGTGCGTCAAGTCAAAACGGGTCAATTTGACCCTGCGTCATCCCTGGCGTGGTATTTTTGTGACCGACATTATTGGTTTATTTACTGTTTCTAATTAATTAATCTTATTCCTGCTGCTTGTTGCGTGCTGACAGACATCAATTTAATCATTTGGCACTAATACGGGACCTTTCCAAAGCATTTCTTGAACAATGTCAATATGTACATTCAAAATGGACAAAAAAGCATCTCATACATGTAATGCACGCCAGATTTACATATACTACCTATATACCCGGATGATACGGTAAGTTACTGCAATAGTTGCAGCAATTGCATGTCTCTGATTGAGGACGTAGAAGACTAATAATAAGTTTGAGTGACCTTTCTTTTAGCATATTATATATTTAGTATATCTATTAATTCCTATTATTATTCAGAATAAATAATATTAAAAATAAAAGAAATATCAAAGTTATGTTTTCAATGCTGATTTTGCATGTTATTGAGAATGTTAATTAAATATTTATTTATACAATTTATTGTTATTTCTATTTCAGTATATGTCTTGAGAACCCTTACTTAATCCGTATTTGTTAAAATTTAGACAACTACTTTACTTTCTCGATGAAATTCGGTTCACAATGACCCGGTGTCATCGTCAGCGTAATTATTTTCGTCTTTGGCGCCAGGTTATAAACAATTTTGTTTTGTAATAATTAGGCGTTGTTTTCACATGATCGGAGACTTACAGTTCATGCGCAGCTGCGATCTGCAGTACGTCGCCCACGAAGCAGTAGAACAGGTAGAAGAGCAGATCTTCCTTATATCGACCAAGTCGTAATGGAGCCAATTTTTCTCTAATGGAACCGTTTATCAGATACTCCGGCGGTACATGATAATCCATGTCTTGAGGTCTGCAAATAAGCATTAATTGATTAATAAATATTGTAATTTATATATAGATAACTAACAGAAAATGTTTAAGTTACCTGCAAGGCGTATCCGCCCACGGCCCAGAGAAAGTGAGATAAAGGTTGTCAGGCGAGTTTAAGTTCAACCCTAGCGCGGTCAAGTCCTGGCCCAGTGCTAGCGATACCAAGCTGGGATCAGATTCCGCCGCGCGGATAAACGTCAGGAGTCCGACTATACCAAACTGATTTGGTATCATGGTCTCTGGTATATTCGTCACTTTTCCTAAAATTAAAACGATCCATTAAAAACATTGTCGTTACCATAGTGATGTTGCGATGTTTAGGAACGGAGCTTATGCTCACCATCAGGCGATGTCTGTATGCCTTTCCTGGGCTGTTGCTTCTCGCTACTGTGCGATTCCGCCGAATAGGCTGGCGGTACAGGAGGCGGCGGCTGCGGAGGCGGCGCGCCACTCGTATTCGACGTACCGGGCAGCGCAGGAAAGTCTTCAGAAGACATCGTAAACTCCGATTGCTCCGATGTAGGCTGCTTCACCATACCCACTTAAAAATAAACGTCGTATAGTACTGGGAACATGAAATCGTAACCTATGTTGTGTCCAAATGCGTTATATTCTCACCGTAGGGTTTAGAGCCAGGCGGCGGTGGCGCGGTTGTCGGGGCCTGGTCGCCAGCCCCGCGCGCCGTCAATGACGGAAACTCGCTGAGATCAAGCAGCGGGGGCGTCGACGTGTCGCCGCCCTCGCCAAACACCGAATGATAGTTGCTGCCAGTGTTGAATCGAGAGAGATTTCCCATATTCGACTGAAATAGTGATTATATTGAGTGATGTAGAATACTTATACAAATATTTTTAATTTTGCAAAAACTGCGATACTTACATAACTGACCATAGAATTAGAATTGGGCTGCGAGAGCGGCGTAGGCATCGGCACCCTGCGGTCAGCGAACGCGCGTTGCCCGAACAGCGTTGATCGCGATGCCATGGACGGCGGTGCGCCGCCAGGCATTGCGGTGCTACCCCGGCCGGGCGACAGTGCGCCCACGAACGTAGGAGTCACATGCCCTGACACGCCTCCCACCAGCCCGGAGCCTACGCGACTACCCACACCGCCGCTGGCTAGGCTTCTAGGCGCTTGCTGGAAATTCAAGTTTGCCATAACCTGCAAAGTGACAAAACAAAACAATACAACTCCTGTATATTTAGACAACTTAGGTTACCAGTGTGCTATAAATAAGCACTTTATTTTCAATAATGAGCAAATGAAAGTAAATGAATTCAAGAAAATAAAACCTATATATAATTCGCAATGCACAATTTTAAAACACATGTACTTGGCGCAAATTGATATCTATGAGAATGGTGATCAATGTCAATGCACACTATAAATACTCAGTGGTAAACCATCGTGAAAATGTCTGGTCTGCCCACTTTAAATTTATATTGATATTCAAAACTTTAATGCTATTCAATTAATGCAATTCTTTATCTACCCACAAAACTAGTAACTACATTTTGTTATGTTATAATACAAATTTATGACAAATATTTGATTACTTTTTTATGTCTTTAGAGCTTAAATGAAATTTTAATGAAATGGTACATTGGATAGCATTTTATTGCCACCGAATGAAGGTAACTTACAATAACTAGCCTTGAGCTTGAACCTTGACCATCCTTAACTTTTGAAATTACATTAAGTCAAATTTGCAACTGAAAGTATTTACTTTTTTAAATTTATTGCATGACCTGGATACAAAGTCCTTCAGTCCAAAACATTTTAACACTAACAAAAACAGAACAAAGGCTTAAAACTTAGAATAAATTCAAATTAAGTAATTATTTACAGAAATTGGATAAAGCATTTACTTAAAGTTGCTATGAAAAGGGTATTCCTCACTATCCTAGTTATTGTATTAATTGATCAAGTTAGCCAATGAAGTTCAATAAAACTATACAATTGAATTTATTGGGAAGTGAATGTAATACATCATTAGAATAACTAATTCTTATTTTACTTCAGTTATTAGTACAAACTATGCGAGTCTACCACAGACATATATTTAAATAGACGTCGCAAATGTACCTACTTTGTGTGCCCTATGTAAGCTATAAAGGCTTAGTTGCCACTGTTACGCTTCACAAAGCACCCATCCATTATCATAACTAAACATCACTTGAAAATGCGAAAAATGCTTAATTGTGCCATTAGAAACTGCAAAAACACCACAGCTGTGAGAAGATAGATAAACAGGGACTTCTCCTTCTTATCAGAATATGCATAATTTATTTTAAAATCAATTATTTTTTAATTTTGAATGAATATCGAGAAAACATATGCAAACAAGTGTATGCCGCATGATTAGTAATATATTGCGGGCTTTCATTTAGTATGCTACACTTGAGTTCCTTATTTAGTAGCCCATGAATATTGAATGAGAGATATTTTTGTACAATGCATTCAGATTCGTGGTATGGCCTCTTGTCATGTTTTTGATCAAATTTTACAATTAGTGATGTTCACTTGAGGCAACACAGTTCTCGATTTGGATCGATTTTGGAAAAAAAGGGATAATAATTTTTATGATCTTAGAAAATACTATAAACATGTTCTACAAAATCTGTTGTTTCTTTTTGTTTTTTAGTTTTCTGGAGCCACTCCTTTTTTCAAAATACTAAAGGACTTAATTATCTTATTATCTTATTATCTTATTCTAGTATTATTTTACTATATTAATATTTTACGGCTTCTTGTAATCAACAAATGCTTGAAAAATCTTTATTCTAAATATGTGTTCCCATCACTATGTAGCACTTGTGACGCCATCAGAGGTAGAAAAAATGGAGCACACTTGGTTTTCATACAGATTGCAGTATTTGTGGCGTATATTTTTAGATATATGTCTATGGGGTCTATAGATTGCAAATGGATCATTGTGATAAATGAAAATGTTTGTATCTAATGCAATAAAACCTACAAATTATCTATAATAAATACATATTAATAATAAAAAATATATAAGCACTTGCTACACAAACATAGATACTAACATTTCAATGAGTCATATAAACACTTTTTCAGTTTTCTCCGGACAAGACAATTTGACAACAAAGGTTCAATTTCTTGAGTGGACATTGAAGCTTGCATGAGTAAAACCTAAATAACAGATAATATTATTCACTTGTTACTCTATAGCACCACATTTTCTCCCCAGCACTTCTGGATGTGTACATTCTTCATTCACACACAGGAGTTCTAGGTTTAAATGAGAATAAAGAATAGGTAGAAATATTTAAACGTTGGGTGGTAAGTTATGTAAGGTATAAGGAAGGTCTGAAAGATGGTATTAATATTTGGTTTACCTAGGTATATGCTAAAACCATACAAAACAGCGACATGTAAAAATTGAAGTGCAATAAATTAAAACAAAAATTATCATGAAAATAAAAAATTAGCAGTCCAACCATAATTCGTAAAAACAAAACCCCTTTCAGAGCATTTACTGCCAGATCATATAAATGTTACATTGAGGGTAGTCAGTATGTGAAAATACTATTCTAAATCAAAATAATATTACAATCATCTTTACCAAGTAAGTTTTCACCTCCAAAAGGTAATGGTGTAATTGGAAAGACTCAATTATTACTTTGATGTTCAGATGAACACACAGAAAGCTTTGTTATAGAATTGCTTATTACTACTTACATCAAATGGTACCTGATGGAAAGGTGTATGCCTAACTCTTTTTCGTGTGTTAGCCACTTTGAATAACAATAATTTGCCTCACTATAGGAAATACTACTTTATAATATCAGTTTATTGACTAATACAGTACATTAAACATGTGCAGTCTCAAGAACTGCACTCTATGCACTGGTTATTGATTGATTGCTCTCTGATAGAGAATGATCTGTGCTTGTGTCATTAACTCACACCTGTTTTTCGAATGAACTGACTCAAAAATCTGAACTATCATAAATAATTAAAATACTGCAAAAGGAAAGTCTGACAATGCAAATATGTAAAACATTCGCAAAGCGAAAACGTCGCTAACACGCTTGCATGTTAAACGGGATTTTCAAGATTCAATTTATGAACTCATTCAATACGTGATCTAAACTCGCCTAAGGCTTTCGTTATAGGTATTCCCGTAGAATTTGCCGACGATACGCGTAACAACCTTAGCAGCTTAGCAGTGAAACATGTATCATTATGAACAGGGTATCAAGCGACATTCTGAAAATTGTTTTAGCCGTCAGCTTGTCAAACAATGGCGACCCTGGATGATGTTATAATTTCACTTTGTAAAATAATATAAATATACCAACCTAATGTGTCGACGTCAGTCCTTGATCCACTATTTTATTAAGCGTATGGTTGGCTCATAATCAAATATTCCGAACAGAAAATAATAAATTCACTCCAATGGAATAAACAAAAGTTTGTTGACTGTTCAATTTTCGAGGCGAATAAGACACATGAATTTTTTTACACCGGCTATAAACTTCCGTATTTTAGTCCTTACAAGAAACACTGCTATGAAACGCTGAAAACTTTATACATATTTACGTCAATAATAAATATTTTAACAATTTCACTCAGTTTTGTCGAACGCCACATTACCCTAAACAACTGGCGGCCATATTGTTGAAAGCGGAAACTACTATTAATCGCCAGAAAAACTAATATTTTGGAAAAAATACAAAAGTTTAATTAGTTACTACAGAAGCATTTGAAAATTAGTTTAAAGATTAATTTTATCTTTATCTATCATTTTTATTTTCATTTAATGCATTTTGAATATCTACCTAAGATACTCAGACATTGATTTGGCTTTCATGACTACCAGAAACTAATGTTACCATAATATGTACATTATCCAACAAAATAGGGAAAATTGATAAGTGATCACATGTTCGATTACGTTTTCTTTGTCTATGGATTTATTAAAACGAAAAAATTCCATGAACGCAACAAATATGTACAATGTGCCTGATTACCACTAACTGATATATAATTAATATTATACGTTTATGATATTGTATATGACTGAAAAGGCATTTTTGAATACGGTCGGAGTTCTTTATTCTAAAAGACAGTTGTCCATTCTAAATCATGAGTAATACTTAGGGCGCACTATAAGTTTCCGGAACTGGCCACTTACATTAATAATATTTAAAAATTACAAAATTTGAAAATGGGATTCCTTGGCTGTAGAATACAGTTTGTTTCATGTGACTGTCACTTGTTTTTACATTGTGGCGTCATTTTAGAAATTGGTTGTCTACATCACCATAGATTTAACTCATGAAAATTTTCGTAGTTTCGTAGTTTTCTACGACTTCAGGTGTAATTTAACAGCTCAGCAGAGCTTCGCTCGGCTTCAAACTGCTTTTGGCGATGAAGCACCACGCAAGAAGACTATTTATAGCTAGTTTGAAGAATTCAAACGCGGTCGTGTGAATCTCAGTGACGAATTTCGTGATAGTCGCCCGTCCACTGCTGTGAACAACAAAAACCTCGATGCTGTGCGCTGTTGGATCAAAACAGACAGACATGTGACATACTATAAGATTCGGGCATCTCTAGTATGGCGTGAGTCAAATACAATCAATACTACACATACATTTGGGTGTGAAAAATTGTGCTCTCAGTGGATGCCACACAATTTGACTGAGGCTCGAAAAGCGTATCGCGTCACTTGGTGCAATGCCATGCTTACCAGATTCAACGAAGGGGCGTCAAATTTGGTGTGGGACATAGTAACAGGTGACGAAACATGGATTTATAGTTACAATCCCAAAACAAAGCAGCAATCGAGCGTATGGGACTTTCGAGATGAGCCGAAACAAACCAAAGTGGCGCGCGTGCAAAGTGCCTCTAAGCGGACGATTGCTTCTTTTTTTTCAATAAAACTGGACACGTGGCTACTATTGCTTTGGAGAATCGTTGTACCGTGAATAGTAATTGGTACACGATCGTTTGTTTGCCGGTAGTTATTAACAAACTCCGTTAAAAATAACCGTAAACGCCGTATCATTTTGCACCACGATAATACCAGTTCTCACACGGCCAGACAGACAAATGAATTTTTGAAGGTGAATAACGTTGACCTTATGAGCCACCCCGCGTACAGTCTCGACCTGGCATATTGTGACTTTTATTTATTTCCAAAAATTAAGAACCAGTTACGCGGTCAACGATTTTTATCACCTGAAGAGGTTGTCGAAGAGTATGAAAAATATGTTTCAGAGATTGTTACGATGGAGCAGTATAAATGTTTTCATAATCGGTTCATTCGCATGAAAAAGGGCATTAACGCTAACGGAAAATATTTTGAGAAACAATAAATTCATTTCTGACCTTTTATAGTATTATTTTCTTATTCATTCCGGAAATTTATAGTGCGCCTCACGTAGAAATAAGTCAGCGCATCCATACAATCCTCTCAGCTCTCAATAAATTAATAACGACGACTGCACAATGTGCGATACATCTGTATATGTGTACTGCACATTATTTTTATTCACTGTAAATTTTAAAGTGAAATAAATTCATTTAAAAAAGGTTAAGCCAATTTAAGTTTTTCAACGAATGTTCAAAGTGCATCTAGAAGTTTTTGTCGTTTAAGTTATACTTGAAAATGCGGGAGATGTCGTCTGCAAACAACGTATATGATGATCATGATGTGTATATAATAATAATCATCATCATTTATTTTGGACTATATTTCCAAAGTGCTAGTAACAAAATACTTAAAAATTAGTGTTAGTAACAACTGGGAAAGTACATTTTAATATTTATTAAAATTAATGAGATTCCCATGTAGGTTGAGGCGTAGCTAATATATGATGTGTACATCTGTTTAGGTCAGTTACATAAGGACAGTGTTAACACAATGTATCCCAGTATGTTAACGCAGGGAATTGAGTAGTTTATATACGCTTATCTGATTTATATGTAATTGTTTCCCTCGTATTCGTGCATCATTCTCGATTTGTACATCTTGAGTTTCATTTTTTTAAATAGGATTAGGTATAATCAGAGTATCTAAAGGTATCAACTCTAACACTACTATCATAAAGTTTTTTTAGGATAATTTCATAGCAAACTTAAAAGCAAATTCATAGCAAAGTAAAATGCCTACTGCACAATTATTTTTATAATTAGTATGTTAGTGCCTCTTGTATGTATGTGTACACAACCAATATTGTTGATTTTTACTAAATGCATATGTTGCTTTTTGCCTAGTACATTATAATTTTCATAAATTTAATTCAATTTATTAGACATTGCTTTTTCGAAAACTTTTGAAAATGCTCAAAGCTAAAAGCGCATGGGTCGATATATACTAAGATCACTTTTATCACCTTTCTGAAGCTCATCCACTGTGAAATATCTGTCTGAGTCCAATACGTATTGGTATGGGATTGTGGTACGATTTATTTTGTCCTATCTTAGCGAAAAAATATTTAATTTGTTTGCCACTTCCATATAGGAGTCAACAGCTTGCTACATTGAAGGTATAATCTCATATTGTTTTCTATTTATTTTCTTAGTTTTACTTTTTATTGTTTTCTACGTAGCAATTGTATTTTTTATACTAGCATTGTTCGTGTTAATTACAAATGGACGCAACATATTTTTTTGGTCACATGAATTTCTAGAATGTTTTGTTAACCAATAAAATTTTATTGTTTTGCGATTTCATTGTTATAGTTTATAGAAGTGTAAATGTACAAAGCTGGTTATGTTAAATGTTATTAAATATTCTATAGTTTATATTTGTGTAATTTTGTCCTTTGTACTGGTACACGGCCAGTTAATTTACCGGAGTTTCTGTTTAAATCTACAAATATTCTTAACAGAGGTTATTCGTTTAGTTTGTTTATTTCTTGTTCGCGATGTCCAATTTTTGAGTTTATTTTTAGAATAATCTGTATTGTACAGTATGTTTTTTAACAGGGACAGTATAGGGGAATCCAAAATACACCTTACCTGAACCTAGAAAACTGAAGTTGGATTTTAAATGTAACTATAGTTGGACTTTCGTTAAAACAAACCTTTGCTTATCTATCTATCTGGAATCAAACAAGGGTAATTAATTAATATTTAGGGCTTTAACCACTCTATGTCACTCCTTGTATGTATATGTAGACGTAATTGTATTTACTTATTTGAACACCCTATTCCGATCACTGATTTAGGAGAACCATCTTAGAATTCTAAAAAAATTAAAAATCACCAGGCGCACGACTTGTCCGTCCCGTCACTTGATATTACAAAAAAAAAATCTCTATGGTACTTTTTTGTAGGGAGTTCGTTTATAAAAAAAGGCAACTTTGTGATCATATGATTGTTCAATGAAGTGGCTGCACTGATAGGCGTCGACTTACTTCTTTCAGTCAGTTTCTGAATTTCTGGCTCATTGTCGGTTGTTTTACGTGTTAGTGGTGCTAAATAATAATTATCAGCCATGGCGCTCAGCGACGCAGATGTTCAAAAACAGGTACGTTTAAAAGTTTCCATTAGTTCTGTCACGGTGATTGATCCATGTTGGAGCATCGCCCAATTCCAACATTGGAGTCTCGTGGCGAACGAACAAGAGAAAATGGAAGGTTTGAAATTGAACCGCGATAAACTTGTGTTGAAATGCTCTAACTTTATGTCTTCAGATCAAGCACATGATGGCCTTCATCGAACAAGAGGCCAATGAAAAGGCTGAAGAAATCGATGCAAAGGCTGAGGAGGAGTTCAACATCGAGAAGGGCCGTCTGGTGCAACAGCAGCGGCTCAAGATCATGGAGTACTATGAGAAGAAAGAGAAGCAGGTTGAGCTCCAGAAAAAGATGTAAGTCTTACTAGAAGTACATTCTTTGTCTGAGTGATATTGTAGTTCGTTACTCGCTGTGAGCGTTTTCACGCGCCACAAGCTCATACACTAAGTTATGTCACATGATGCCACCTGCAAAGCTGGGCTATGTTACACACCCAATATCTATCTAACCCATTATGTATATAATCATATTGTAGTTGCAAAAGTGTAAGTTTGATGCACGCAAATTAGGCTTAAGGTTTTACCTTTACAACACTTTTTTATTATAGCGCACTTTGTATTCAGTCGTCTACTTATTCTTCCAACTGAGTTACTTTTAATAATACTAATGTTTCCTTTATTCATTTGCTCTAGTCCCTTATTACTTGCATTTATGTCTTATGCAGTTTAATTTTGACTTACATAAAACAAGTCACATGATTTCCTACTGATGCTTATTGTCATCATTCTAGATTACTCTATCCTAACTTTATTTTAATATTTTAGAACTGCATTTAGTACTCTATATCACAATATACCATGCTACAAAATGCTGTCTAATACATGGTCTCGTATTAGAAAATTCCCTGCACTGTAGGTGACCAGACATACTGTTAATTCGAGGTTATACTCCGAATACCTATATCTGCAAAAAATTATTAACACAAATTTTATTAGACTATTTGATCAATTGCATACCACAATGTTGATAGAGGGATACACGGTAGATAATAATAATTTCTAGAGCTTTCATTTTATAATCTGTAAATATTTGAAAATATTGTTCTAAACTCTCGTACTCAACGCTTTATGCAAAAAACTTATGCTTAGACTCCATGTAATTCCGAACTTATCTGCAGATTCAAGAACCCAGTCTTATACACTACTTGACACTCACACATGAAGTTGCTTATTTCATAACAAATCAGTCTCATAATGTTAAAGATATCCAATATTTTATAACGAAGACTTAAGGTTATGAAATATTTATAATTTATATTATTTTGTCTATGAGTTTTTAAATTAACAATACTGAAAACTGCATAATACCTTTTCTTATAGGAGTTGTAGTAGCAAATTCATTATCACTGGGCACTATTGAAAATTATATAAATCTTAAGCAAAATTTAAAAATAGATATGATTAATCCATATTTAAGTCATTTTTTTTAAACACTAGCTGTATGCAAACATTAACCACTAATCAGTAAGGCTATGTTTTATATACATTCTTATTTAACAATGCCTTTTTATAAATATGCGAGATAAAGGGTACCTTAAAATATTGTGCGCTAGACTCAGGCTCAAATGATTTTTTCTAAATTAGATTTTCTCAATTAGAATTGTTAAGTTATTTTAAGGCATTGATTGCTTAGGTTAATTAATTTTAATTGAAGGTAGTGTAATGGAAAAGAACATTCATCAATATGAATATATTTTACTGACAGAACCTATGGTATTTCATACAAAATCCCCTTACCTACTTAACCAAAATGCATAATATAGCATACAGTAATATAATGAATATTGAAAATAATATCACATTCTTAACAGAACTATGCCATTTAATTCACAACATATCCTTTGTTGCTCTTTATTATATGAATTTGAAATGAATTTGCATTGAAATGAATTGGAACTTTGACTATTAGCCTAACAATGCATCATGCATTGTTTATATAACCTAAATTTCTTGATGCTTACACTCATTGATAACATGATCTGTCTAAATGTAATTAGCTTAAAGTTTCTTTTAAATATAGTATTATTAGTAATTGCATGTTATGCGCGACTTGATAAGAAGGATAGATTCTGTATCTGTATATATAAAGCATATACTATGTTATGTAATCCAAAGGTGCGTCCTCAAACTGTTACGTAAAGCAACCCTTTTACTGTATGTAGATGATATAAGCTTATTATTATTCTTTGCTTATAAGAACAAGCAAAGAATATTTTTTTGTTGGACTATGTACTATGTAAGTGCATTTTATGAAAGCTGTTTATTGGAACAAAACATAACATAAAGTAGGACAACAGCATGATATAGGCTTAATTTTCGCTTCAGTGAGAAGTGTTGAGTTTAAATCATGAGTATACCTCTACAGGAAGACGTGCTGTTTTCCAAACTTAAATGTTAACCAAACGTCAAATACTTTTTGTTAATTTTTTTAAATATTTTTGTTTATTGTGTTTATACGTATATTTCATAGTAGATTTTATAATGCAAATACAAGATGTAAGTCACTTCAATCATCAATAGTTTGTACAAAATTATAAAAATAAGACACAAAATTTCAATTATTTAAATAAAATCTGCAGTCAATCATCGAACATGCTGAACCAAGCTCGTCTGAAGGTGCTGAAAGTACGTGAAGACCACGTACGCAATGTGTTAGACGAAGCCCGCAAGCTCCTGGCTGAAGTGCCCAAAAACAGCAACCTCTACTCCGACCTCCTGGTCACCCTCATTGTTCAAGCCCTCTTCCAGGTAAACATATGAATTTATTTATTTGATTATAAACGAGCAGCTTTCGCTGGTATGTCTACATCACACAGTGTTGAAATTTATACCGTTGTTTTAGTTCACTTTTTTAGCACTAATTCACTCTTTCGTAGCCAGTTGTCGAGCTTGTTTTTGTAGGCATTAACAGAGACAGCAGAAACAACATCTTCCGGTAGAATGTTCCAATTGTGCATCACTCTGTTGCTGAAAAAATTGTGTGCAGCAGGAGTTTTGGAAGGTGCACGAACTAGTTTCAGATGGTGGCCACATGACGGTTTAAAGTTTTCATTTCTTTTAAAGATGTTTTGTATTGCTGGTAGATTGTACAGACTCATCAGAATTTTATGTCTCGATGAGGTCACCACGAAGGCGTCTTTCTTCCAGATTAGTGAGGCGTAATACGTGTAGTATCTCATAGGATTTGCGTCGAAGAGCCTGTGGCATTTTAGTTGCCTTCCTCTGAACGTTTTTAAGGAGGTTATATTTTTTTTGGAAATAAGGGCTCCACACTTGATATCCATATTCCAGCAGTGGCCGTATATAGGTCTTACAGATTTCGAGGAACATGTCTACTGTCATTGTTTGGAACGATCTGTGTATGACATAGATATAGGAGTTAGCTTTCTTGGCTATTGTAGTGATATGCTCACCCCACTTTAAATTGAATGCGATATTGACTCCAAGATCTTTTTGAATTTTGACTGCCGCTAAGGTATTTCCTTGCAAGTTATATGTGACTTTGGGGTTATTGTTACCAAGCTGCAAAATGCTACATTTTAATGCATTCAATTTGATAATCCAATCCTTGGTCCAGTCTTGTATAAGATTTAGATCTTTTTGAAGTTTCCAGAGTTTATAAGTGGATTTGCAAAAAAAACTTTCCATCATCAGCAAAAAAGGCACAATTAGAATCCATGAGCTCAACTAGATCTGTTACATATATTCCAAATAGATGGGGAGCGAGTACTGATCCCTGCGGTATCCCGCTCAGTACCACCTTTAGTTGCGACAGGAAGTTACCGACACGTACCTGGAATGTTCTGTTTTTAAGATAATAATTATCTATCCATTTAAGTAGAGTCCCACGTACACCGAAGTGATCTAGCTTCATTAAGAGGTGCTGATGCGGAACTTTATCAAAAGCGCGTTCAAAGTCCAAGTACACTACATCCACCGGGTTCTTATTATCAAGTTCTTTGCTCCATGCATTCACACATGTTAACAAATTGTAACAGTTGATCTTTTTCGTACAAATCCATGTTGTTTGGTTGACATTATACATTCCCGATTCAAAAACTGATTTAGTCGATCACAAATAATTGTTTCCATAATTTTGACCACAATACTGGTGAGACTTATGGGACGAAAATTTCCAGGCTGAGTCTTGTCTCCTTTTTTATAAATAGGAGTAACTGTAGCATGCTTCCAATCTTGAGGCAAATATCCCGTTTTGAAAGATTTATTCATTAGTTCTGTCAAAGTGGGAGTTTTGCTTTGAAAATGATTTTTCATAAGTTTACGGTCTAGTCTGAACAAAGTGAAGCTCGGTATGCTACATGTTGAGATCTTTACCGTTTAACCATGTTTCCGTGAGAATAACAAAAGTTGTTTTTTTTTTGAGTTTATATAGAGTAATAACAGATCAAATTTAGGCGGTAAAGAGAACAAATTGGTGTACATAAATGTAAGGTCTGTGTACGGATTTCTGTTATAGTTGATTAGTTTTTTTGGTTTACAATTTTAAGTACACCGTTCACATATCTAATTGTGAGGTTAGATTCCCCCTTCTCTACTCTAGTTTTAAGATTTCCTTTTTGGCCTTACTTTTGTTCTTAAGTATCCAGACCGCATCTTGGCGGGAAGAAAGTACCACCTTTATAGGTCTGGTTTTGCCAACTTCACGACGTCCCAAGCGTTCACAGTCATCACTTTATGCGAGCAGTCGCCTCCACTGTTCATATCCAATAAAAGCTTCTTTACATTTGATTCATCGTGTGTCTTTCGGTCGCTGCCATTTTCAGAGATACATTCTTTAACACCCACCAAAATCACATTGCTGGCTCTGCACTCACGTTCCAGGATTTCCTCCATTATAACATTGATGTCAGATGGGGATGTGTTAACTACTGATACCTCCGGCGAGGCAACATTGGTGGTTTTTAATAGCAACTTTTTTACATCATCGAGCTCTTCGCGCAGTCCATCGTAGGCATAGGCACTTGGAATAGGGCCTCTCGACATGCGGGACATAATTACAGGAGTATGCGCTTCCCTTTTAGCCCTGTGACATGCGTTTCACTACTCGTTAAGTTACTGCATTGCAAACAGATATTCCTTTTGCAACTATCACACTGCACTGTGCTTTCATTGTTGTATTCATTCTCGCATTGAAAGCACTTCATATTTTGCTCGAAATACGACACTGGCACGAAATAAGTCGTTACGATTTTTCTCACTTGATTTACACTTCACTAACACGACTTTAACGTTATCCAAAATTTTGTGCTCAATTTAATGTTCATATACAAATAACACAAAAAACACGTGATTTTGCTTAATTACTTTTTTGGCGATTTTTTAAAAATAGACGCAAATTCCAACACTGCTTCTCTTTCTGAGGGTAGACACAGAAAAAACAATAATCATAAAATAAAAACATTATATTTCAGAATTTTGTATAACTATGTGATCCTCGCGCCGAGAATGTATTTAAGTATCCTGTTTTCCCAAAAACAGAAAATAAATAACTTAAGATATGGAAATGTGGAATCCTCTATACATTTCCTTTAACATGACATTATTTAAAATATATATATATATATATATATATATATATATATATATATATATATATTAATTCACTTACTTTCTATTGTAAAACGTGAATAGTAGCCATATATATATATATATGCCACTGAATGTGACTGAGAAATATAATGTGTAGTAGTAATATGTGAATCCTTGACACAATTAACTTTGCGAGCATACAAAATGTCAAATCATTATGGAATATTAAATTGTCACAGTGATTGATTGATTTCGTACTGATAAAAGCGATCACGTGTACAGTTGGTCGAGCCTACAGTAACGCTGCGCGTGCGACAAGCCGACCAGGCCTTGGTCGAGCGTCTCTTGGACCGAGCAGCGTCCGAGTACCAGAACAAAATCAAGAAGGACGTACAAATAAAGATCGATAACGAGAACTACCTGGCGGCGGACACCTGCGGGGGCGTTGAGCTCATTGCCGCCAAAGGGCGCATCAAGGTATGGCACTATTTAATGAGTTTATTCCAAATTAGAATATCTTGTCGTGTCAAGGTTGTGTCGCGTTAACGCTAAGCAAATAAGGCAAGATATATTGTCGCGTTCCAGATCTCCAACACCCTGGAGTCACGCCTAGAGCTGATTGCTCAGCAGCTGCTCCCCGAAATCCGTACAGCGCTCTTCGGTCGCAACCCTAACCGTAAATTCACCGACTAATCGAGCGGCGTTCTGCGCACACGCTTGTTACTACTAACAATTTACTTATTTAAAGTTTCATTATTTGTAGAACTAAAATATTGTATGTAAGATGTTTTTTTCTTTGCCTAATTAATTATATTTACTATTGTAATGCGTATAATTTTATCGCTATATATTTTAGAATATTTATTGATTAACGGTCCCGTTATTCGCCAGAAAGTATGTATCAAACGCGTAATCATGTTAGTTGCTGGTTTCTGGGTATCGTCACTCTATCTCTAACTGTCTTAGTTTCGCCAGTTGTATAAGGTCGATGTTGTACTTTTAAAAATAAAATATTACTACAATTCATTCAAGTAGCACAATTTTCTGTATATTTTAGAGAGTAGTTTATAGGGTTTGAAAACAGTTAAATTTGTGAATGTTATGAATTACTAAGTAATCAAAATAGCCGTTAATCATAATCAATGCTATATATACTGTTAAAATTTCGCGTTGCATTGTACTCACGTTAGAAAACGGGAATAAACGCGAAAACAACCTGTTCTGGTCACGGGCTGACTGGTGATGCGGTGTTACGTCTCTATCTCAGTGGTGGAATCTTCACCCACCCTTGCTATGTAGTTTTCAAAATACTGCCACACAGAACACTAAGTCCCCATTCTGTACCGCAGCCGTATTCTGACCGCGGTGTCGAGTGCAACCAGGCCGAAACGTTAGAATAATGGGTAGGTATGAAAATATCTATTGTTTAAATCGCGTTTATTTTCGTTCTCAAATGTTAGTACAGTGCTGTTAGAAGCTCGCTGCTCTATTTTTAGGCTTCAGTATTATACAAGACAGAGTTTCGTGGCACTTTGAACATGTGTTGGACGAGGAAGTTGTAGTCTGTTGATGATTAATGTTTGAAACTATGTAGCTGTGCATGGATGGGTCAACGGCTGTTGGACGTGAGGGAGGCGCGCGCGCGCAGCATCCCGCGCTCTCGCCACCTAAATCCACGGATTTGGCTGGCCGCAGCGCGGTCCGCGCGCCACCCTCACACCTCAACACACATTCCACCCTTGTCTTCCCTCCATCTAATTAATGTTTTGACTCGCTTATCACATTTACATCGCTTATCACAATTTACGGAGCACCATAGCTCTTTAAGTAATGTACAATATGTATACCCGTTATGGCACTGTTAAAATTCTTATGTAAATATATAGATGAGTTAAAAATCCGTTTTTGATTTTGTGCTTTCACCCTTTTCTTGATGTTCATGGACTGCTGCTGCTCACGCTCACATGAGACTGATTTTCGTTCGACAGTTTGACCTTTTAAAGTTTAGCTATGCGAATTTTATATGTATGAAATAAAAAAAACGTTTGTGGAATAACGATATCAATATTTATTTCTATAAAATAATACCTTATATCTGTCTTTGTCTTGAAAATCGCCGTAACAAAAATCTTGCCATTATTTCCAGCTAAATGATAAACATTTCCCATATAAAAATAAGTGGTATTGGCTGTCAGCGAACAAAGTGTCTAGATATCTACATATTTAAATTGTCAATAGATATAATATGTATATAATATCGAGGACATTCGACGAGATATAATGACGTGTAAATCTAATCTAAACCTCTACTAAAGTTACATTAATGCAAAAGTTACGTAATGTTTAAATTGTATAGATTTATAAGTTTTAACAATATTGTCTAGTGTCTCATGTACTTTATATACGCGGTGTAAACAAACAATAAAACTGCATACATTTAAAACCTTGTTTAAACCATATTCAACCACTAAAATTAGAGGTAATTATTCTCACTTTTCGATTAACTTGTTATTTAATGTGAACATGTGTATAAAGCAGTTAAAAGTCCACGTGATATTTATTTATGTAAAATTCTAAATTGTTAATTTATCAAAAAATAAGAGTTACATTTTTAATCGACTTAAAAAATGGAGTTTCTCAATTCGACGCTATTACTCCTACATTTGGACGTAGTTGAACAAAAAGGATCCAATGCACATCCAGTCACTTTCGAGATATGGCAGTTTGAAGTTTAAAGTGTTTCTCACCCTTGTTTTATTTTCAAAACTTATAATGTCACGTAATTCCACAGATATTTATTTATGTTTATATGTTAGGCTTTTTTTTTTGGTGATCTAAGAGATTATATAAAGTATAATGAACCGTTTGGTACTACATATAACTCATTTTTTGATAATTTTGTGGATTGGATTCTTTTTGCCCAACTATGTCCATTTGCAAACCGATTCTTTTATTTTTGTTGGAAAGGGGGTGCCTCAGTAGTGGACCCATTCAAATTTGAAACAGATATTCCACCTATAAGGGTGGCACATTATTGGAAATCCGGTGTATTGGATTTCGCTCATTTGCTGTCAACCGACTACAATAAAGCCTAGCAAATATTTGTAACTCCGCAGACTTGTGAAATCTCTTACTTGTGTAAAATTTAAATAAAATATCTATAATAAGTTTGCGTTCAGCATGTTGATAGGCAGCGGAAGAATTATTTAGTACTGATTGACCGCCTGTTCCTGACACGACCCTTCATGGAAGAATGGCATAAGTGGAGTTACGTCAAAAATGTTTATTGCTCCATTAAATACCGAAAAATATAATCCACATCCTCTCCAATTTTTGTAACTCTATCGTCTAATATTGTCGATAGAGTTCCAAGAATTGGAGAGAATGTGGGCTATATTTTTATTTATATATTTTATTTATCTAATGGAGCAATAAACCACACAGGAAAAGTGTTAAAGCATTTGTAACCAATGCTCTAAGGCGCGATTTTTTATTATTTTGGCTACGAGACATGGCCTATTTTACGTCACGTAAATGGTTTTTTATAGTGTAATGTAAGTTTACAACTCGATAATTAGTAGGTAGTACATGTTTTCGTCCTTATGGACAGGCCAAGGTGTCAAATTGGCCATACCAGTTAGATTGTAATTTTATTTTAAATTGATATTTTTCGCGGGAAATCTTTATTATATATTTAGGGTAACTATTTTCAAAACCTTGATTGTGCTATTTACGTAATAGTACCAATCTTTTTTTTATTTCATGAGCTCAAATTGAAGTCGAAGATTCGACTTCAGAGGAATTTTCAATTCTTTCAAAATTTAAGTAGAGTTGATAATTCGTTGCTATTTATGGTTAGATGTGTTGTTCCATATACCTACAGAAATGGGCAAGGGTAAAAAAAACAATCCACCTGGCTGGGTTTTAATCCATTTCTGCCCAAAATCGTCGGCATAAACGGCAAATACGGAATTTGGTATAATTCCATACTTATTACAAATTTCGATGTAAAAAATCTTGCAATCCGATGGATATGCAGCCACGAGCACGTCAAGCTTGACGCTTTGTACTTTGAACCGTTCTTGTCGTAAGCGGCATAGAGTTGGATTTATATCTTGAGTGTCAAGCATGACGTGCTGTTTGATTGATGTGCACGTGATTTATTTCAATGCGAATTTCAAACGAATCCCTTCAAAAGGCAAATCGAATCGTCTAGATCCGAAAGGTATAAAAATTTTGTAATAATATCATTCAATTTGAACAAAACTGTACTTCGAAAGAGTTATTACTATTACTTACCCTCGAATTTAGGCGTTAATGGGTTTTAACCCAATTTATACCCGGCCGCGGTGGTAACAATCCCGGTCGTTTGCCCATCTCTGTCCATATAATGACAAGTCCTGGCTAATTTTCAAATATTTAGGAAGTCAAATAATTAAAATTGTTATAAAATATTTCATCCTATTGTTATATTATAACAGAGTATTATACCGTACTGTAATATCTTAATCACATTTTGTGGACTCATTTCATATTTAAGGTGATAGCCACCAAGAGGTAAATAATTAATTATAAAATTTATAAATGACTCGGTAACTATGTTAATATATTTTAGTAGAGTAGTTATATAATGCTAAAAACTATTTATATTAATTAAGAGAGTAATAAGTTGTTATTGTTATCGAATAGTTGCAAGCTTGATAAAACTGACTAATTAAATACGTGTAATATTTTATGAGTAGATATTGCTTTAGTGTTATCTAGGAACTTTAGCTATGTCGATTGTAGGAAATTAAACGATCGCACGAGCCAATCCAGTGTAACATGCAAAACGCACGCAAGAGAGGATGTGCGTACTACTTTTGTTACAAACAAAGGTAGTTTCCGTATCTATATCATATACCTAAAAGGGACACTGGAATAATTTACAAACCTTCCAGACTCAGATTGCAAGCCAAAAAAGCAGCTCAGCGGTTGTTTTTAAAATATAACTTTGATACATTGGTAAATTGAAAATTGATTGTTTTCATGAAGATTGATTCTTTTGTTATAAATGTCACAAAATCATTGAAATAATATTTTATTACAATACCAAAGAAAACAGAAAGCTTTTTCATGTAAATAGATTCAGATAAGGATGTACATTTTTCGCGTTTTTTTTTAAAAATAGGTACATGAAATCAGCATCCGCTTATGGGTAAAAAAACCTGCATTGGCAACATCCCTGGTCTCCACATCCTTGGCATTGTTTCGTACCTAACTCCTGCTCAGTGTGATCGTTACCTTACTGCTAAATAGTAATTTATAAATTTGTACGATTTCCACCCTATGGATACAGAGTGTTTTACTGATCACGGAATAATTTTTAAGAGGTACCTATTATTTTATATATAGGTTGCATATTTTTATCAGTACCTAAGTATGTTCCATATAAAGTGCTCATACTCGATCAAAATCCTATCAATCTGATTATATTTTCACGATTGGTTCAGTGTAGCATAAGTTCAGCAGGTATTTCATTTCAGAATCATCTTTAAAACATGATCAAATGTTTGTCTTATCACAATAAAGTGAAACTAATATTTTTAAAGAAAGGGAAATTCTTCCAGTCCAACCTTGACTTAAGAAAGTTTAAAGTTTGATGCACACTCAAGAGCCAAAGTCTGAAACTCTAGGAAATGAAACTATTTTTCCAGATTTAAATCGCGTATATTTGTTTTATCAAACAAATCAACGTTTCCAGGTCCTATGGTCACGGTTAGAGTTAACCTGCAAAAGGGCCCGAGACGTCGGTTTGTTTGAAAAAACAAATATACGCGATTTAAATCTGGAAACATAGTTTATTTCCTATGTGTAACAATCGCGGAAACCTAAGAACTCGATCTGAAACTCTATTTATCCCTTTAGCTTTAGATGTGATGTAATCGTTGTTTTATTGGCTGTGCAACATTTTAAACAATTTAGAAGCCAGACAGGTTTTTCAACTTAATTATCGCACTTGATTGAAACAGGCAAAAAAATTATCACGTGACCAAAGAAACATCTGTAATACTTACCACATTTGTGTTGGGTAAGTGAAGGTTCAAATCTCATTTGCAAATAACTATCGCAACTACATCTATCGATATCTAATCTAGCTAACTAACCCCACGTATAGTGGTCTATTCAATACAAAAACTATCGAATTATCTACGCCACGGCGATTCGGCGACCTTAGTATAAGTTTTCAAATATGTAAACTTAACTATCGCGGTTTGCGTTAAGATTTTAATTTAAACCTTATAAATATAATAATGAAGATCCAAATAAAGATCTTAACGCAAACGCGGTACTTTTCAAGGATGACAAATTTATACTCAGGTCTCAGTATCTAAACCATTACCTACAGAAATATACATAATTGCTTAAAATGTGGTGTTATAAGTTTGTGTAGGCCTTCGATATTAAAATTTATCTACGGCATATTTTGGCACTTGTTTATCGTTTTATAGGCAGTGCTAACAAAAATTCCATACAATTATCTGAGCCTTCACGTATCGCTTCTCACAGGAGTATGTTAAAGAATTTGCCCTTTCGAGAACCAGCCATTCCAGAATAGGCCTCTATGATAGTAATCATTAGTCGACTAAGTCGCCCCTGTGAGAGGCACACGTAATTCATGTTCAATATGCGTTACAAAAATGTTATGTTAGCTTTTGCTTGAGCGTTTATGCTTAGACGACAAGGTGAGATACGTCGGGGGTGTAAGCCGGGAGGTAGCGGGGGACTCGGGGCTCGTCTCTTCGACGCGCGCCGCGGTCCACAGCTAGGCTGATGCTCCCTGCCTCTTTGACTCCATTCGACTTGGCACGCCGCTGCGAGGGCAGGATCGAAGCACGCATCGATTTCCGCTTCTGCAACCATTAAACTGCCTGTGGTCAAAGTCGCACGAGCATTTATAGTGCTACCACGAAGTTTTCCACCCATGACCATAAGGCTCAATTTACATTGCGGCGGAACGAAAGCGCCAATTTCGGTTCGCTGGAATGCATTCGCGGGAATGCTCCAACACTCGCGACTGCGCCTTGAGGCTGTAGAGTTTGATACTGATTTTACGCTCGTATCTAGTTTGTACGTTACACAATTAACCCTATAGTTCATTACGCTATGTACAATTTCGTTACGAAAATTTGCTTCCATTCCGTTCCGTCGCAATATAAATTGAGCCTTATGGAACATACGTTCCAATCGTCGTAAGTATATCGTGGAATCTCATGCGTCTCATTGTTATTTTATTGGATAAGTTATCTATTTGTGTGACTCTTGTGTAAGTAGTTTTCTTTGAAGGCTACTACGAGTTTAGGTTCTTACATTAGGGATGTTTGTTAGACATTGCCGTCTAAATACGCATGCATGTGGTGATGCTAGGAGAACGGTACGGTTTCCAGGCACAAATAGGGGAAAGGCGGACGGGACAAGGGGCGATAATGTCGCTAGTTTCGTGGTAGCACCTGTTAACTCAATAAGCCGGGTGAGTCTACTTACGACAACGATATCTATCACCGCGTCCAGCTAGTTGCTGATGGTGATCCATAAGCAGCGGGGACTAACGTGATTGATATTAACATTCTAGATGAAAATGAAGCGTTTATTTGCTACATTCATAAATTGGTCCTTGAATAGGTATATTTATATGGGTGTGAATGTGTAGTGATTGCAAATGGTCGAAATCTTTTGCCCTTTATAGTTTGCTCTCGTATTTGAAGTAGTCCGAGTCGGCATTCGCCCTGTTTACCTCTACTGCGCCTCGCCACCGGTCCGCTGCATGGCGCGCAATCTCCATTCGCTTCTGTTTCTTGATCTGGTGCCGCTTGTACACGACTTCAATGACAATCAACACAATCCCGCCGATGATGCCGGCGAGTACTAGAATGAACACGCCGGCCATGTTCTTTAACCCCAGAGTGTTGGGTGTCTTTTCATTCTCCTCACAGTTTAGCAGATTGTTTCGTAAAATCCACAAGTTGTCCAGAGATTCCATTATACCACCTAAAAGATGTAGAATGTTATTAACAATAGTTTAAATTATAATGTATACATGGAACATAATCAATTAAATATAGCAAGCTACGCGGTTTCTTCGGCATGTCCCTAAATATACGAAAAATAGTCACGTAGGTACCTAGATAAATTATGTTTTCGCGTGTTGGAAATGGGACACAATTATGCAGAAAAGATTCAGCGTAATCGAATTCCTTAAACGTGACTTATTAACAATGGTCGGAAAAAGGTGTTCTACATATCGCACTTGACAACTAACATAAAAAAAATTGTGTTATATTTTATCTCAAAATTGCGTTATATTAATAATTTATCTCCAAAATTTCGCTATATTTGTATGTCATTCGTATACGATTTCATTTCAAAATGACAGGATAACGCTGTCGCTTTGAAATTAAATAGGTAATATTAATATAACTTAGAGCAATTTTGAGATAATACTATGTTAGTTGTCATGTGCGATATATAAGATACATGTATAGATATGGCTACAAGGAGCGAAATAAAAGTTGTTAAAACCACCTAATATTAATTAGAATTTGCGAATACCGATTTCCGGAGATGGTTTTACTGCATCGTAAGACAAAACACTAACCTAGGAAGTCGAAGTTGGATTTTAAAGTTAATTTTTCTGTTTACAACACCTAAGAATCATACTAATGGAATGCAGAACTACCTAACACTATGTAAATATCAAGGAACAGAAATAAGGAAATCCTAAATCTGTGTAGCAAATTGAGCGAATGATAGCTATAGTTAGCTTACTTTCGTGGAAGTCAAGAATCGCGAGCGTGACAAGGTCCGCCCAGGGTGATCCCTTCTGCAAGCCAATGCCATAGCCGGAGCGGCCAAATAATTCCCCCGCTGTTACCAGCTCGCAATCCTGCGCAGCCTCGAACTCCAGTCGCGAAGAGTCCCAGATGAATGCCATCAATTTGCTGTGAGTAAAATTTTATTACCAGGCTTATAGCATAGTACAATAAGACAAATATGGTAACCCCGTACAAACGTAGTAGCGCGCAGTGGTGCCAGGGGGTCTACTCTCGATCTCCGTCCGACATCCGTCCGAAACAATTACTGCCAAATAAGCAATACTTGACGAAATGAAAAGATGGGTGATGCGAATAAAGCTTCATACTGGATACTTACATGGCTTTCAATTTTGTCGAATATTACTTATTTCACAGTAATTGTTTCGGACGGATATCAGACGGAGATCGAGAGTGGAGCCCTGATAAGGCGATTTTTCGTTTTTTAGGCTACCTCGAGGGGTCGCGCGGCGACTAAAAATGTGTTCGGCGATTCGACGATATTTACGCTATGTTTGAAATAGGAAAAGGCGATTTTATATAAATATATATTTTAATAAAATGTCTGGGGAATTACAAATTTGATTGGGGATTTTGTGGGGAATGGAGTTGTAAAATAACTAATTTGGGGGTTGGAGTAATTCTACGTGAATGGAGTGACCATGCCTACTTGTCTTATTATATAGATAGTTTGTATTCACAGAAGCTAGACAAGAGTGGCGAACTGTAGTCTCTGTTCTCCAATCAGCCATTATTATTATTTTTTTGCCGTAAACGGTACTTTAATGCTTTGTTTGGTAAACAACAAAAGACTTGTCCAAACATATTTACGTATATCTATGACTGCGGTCACAACCTAGCTGATCGATCGACCATAGAATAAAACTTATTGGTACAGGATTTTACCGAATGTATTCTATTTCAATCTGTGATTGTATTCTTATAGAGTGGTTTTTATACAAAAAAAAAACAAGAATTGCATAATGTTTCGGGTCGCATTGAATGTCCGCAGTTTATATTGATCGTTTATGAAACATTTATAAGAAAATTTTAGCGATTTTGAAACAATTTTATTATATAATAAAAATATATAATAAAAACTTTTTGTAAATTGTCAAAATATGCGTATTTAATCGATCACAAACAAGTATCAAAGTGAATGAGACGCTATTTAACCCTTTTCTGAACCGTAAAAGCGTTTACCGTAAAATTAAATATTACAGTATGATAGTACCCACAGGGTACCCCGTTTCGCTACATGTGTATCAAAAAAAACTACGGGCTTTACGGTGCGATTTCCAAATGCTTTCTATGTCAAAGTCAAATAATCTTTATTTTATAGCAAATTACACTTGAAATCGTCATACTGATTAAACTCTATTGCTCATTCGTAAGGCAGATTCCCCTGAGGAGAATGATCAAGAAAGCCTAGGGGATGCTCTTTGCAAATATACATTTGAATACATTTATCATAATAATATTTAATCTAAAAATCTTAGATCGAGAATACCTGAAAGAGCTAAACGGTGAGCCAAATGTACCTTCGTTGCCGCCTACTGCTTTTATAAGGCTCTAGATAGACAGACTGCATTTGAACTGCACTCCGACTGCAACTTTGTGTTTGAATGCAGTTCAAAAGCAGTTGGTCCGACTGCATTTGAACTGCACGGCGACCGTGGAGCCCGATTGCAGTCGGTGTGCAATTGGCGTGCAATCCAACGAAACGGTTGAATGCAGTTCAAATACAGTTGGACCAACTGCATTCAAACTGCAAATTTGCATTTGGAGTGCAGTTGAAATGCAGTCTGTCTGTCTAAAGCCTAAATCAACAACGTACTGACAAAATTTAACATTTTATATTGAATCAATGTTAGCACCACGACCAGAAAAGTACCGACAATATTTAAGCAAAACATGAAAGGTTTAACCATGAATAAATTGCGTTTCCCTTTGAACGATTCAAAAAGTATATATATAAATATAGAACAAAACTATATTTTTAAAAACTATCTTTTGTTTGCGTGTTTCTCCCCTTTATTTTTTTCCATGCCACACGGTCGTTTAATTTTTTATTTTTCATCAATATCAGTCGGTAACTTGGGGAAAAAGGGTTTTCACTGTTAGGTATGTAACCCGAAACGTTTAGATCTAAAAAGTCTATTTTAATGGCTAGAAATACTTTAGTTACGCGAGCAACTTTGACTAAAGGTCGATAAAATACCGTGCGTTATATTTGTTACCCATTCTTGACGTCCTCGATGGCTTGCTCAGCGTTATCGTAGTTATTCGCCTCCATGGTGCGGTACATGTTGGAAAGTTCCACCTGCCGTCTGAAGTACATGTCCACAGCGGAACCCTTCACCGTCGCGCAGGTCAGGTTTTCCATCGTGTTCCGTAACTACACACAAATTATTTGTTACACAGGTAATATATACCTACGTACGCGAAATGCAATTTTGTATTAATCTCAACAGCGACTTATTTAATGTATTAAAGGAGTAGGATTCGCTCTGGGCCTTTTGGAGGGAAAAGTGTCGTTTTTATTTTGACTTTCAATTATTTTGTGAAATCTAGTTTAAAGTGGAATAGGATAGTGCTATTGTGCCTTATTCGAAGATTAAAACGCGAAATTATACGAATCTCGAACTAAAATACCCGTATCGGCCCGTTCTAAGGAATTCCGAGTCAATCCAAGCACGCCGCCTCAAATTGCCTATCCTCTTTGTGGTGGCCATATTTACAGAAATATAATTAAACGCATTGACTTACAAATAAATGGACGACGGGTCTAATACAAAAACCACGAAAAAAATGTCCCAAGTCAACCTATTCGAAATTTAAATTGTTATGTCATCGCAGTATCGCGCTGTCCGTAGAACAAATGAAGACTAAAGCGGAGTGTCGCGCTCTGTATACGATTTTAGCGCCTTACAAGTGCGGACACTTTTTAGCGCGGACCCGACGTCCATATAATTGTAAGTCAATGATTAAACGTTTATGTTTTCGGCTGAAGGACTTTGTTTCCGTGGCCAGCAATAATTTAAAAAAAATTAAAGGAGTAGGGTATAAAATTGAAAGTCCTAGAAACATGAAAACTTGAGGGTATGTTATTTTTATTTAGTGTAGCGTACTAAGAACGGATATTTCAAAATTCAACATCAAAGAGGGTGAAAAAGGGTAAAAATGTTTCAAATTTACCCCTAAAAAGGGGCGAGATGGGTTGTTAAAGTTTGTATGAGAATTTTTAACACGTAGGTATTGCTATTTGCTTCAAACTTGATTAAGATATATTAAATATAAAATAAATAAATACGTGACAGTGTGTTTTACAAAACAAACCCCTAAATGGGGGTAAGTTAGACTTAAGTATTTTTAAAAAACCTTTTCTATAGAAGATCGTATTCCTTACATTTGTAAACTTGGTTTACATATATTAGGCTTTCGTAACACTTATCCAGGGTGCCCGCGACCATTGTGTTCTATTGTATAATTCACTTTGTTCGTGCGTGAGGCAGTAATAATAAAGTTGAAACGTTTTTTATACATACTCTTGCATCGTTGATACCGGTAAGTTTGGTCTTTGGTCGCTCCAACACGAGGAAAGCTGCCAGATTAGCAGTGTAGGAGGCAACAATGATCATTGCGAATCCAGCCCATACCATGCCCAAAACGCGAGCTGAGAAACTGCGGGGAGTTCCTAAAAACATAAATAATTACGCTGATTACTTACAGACCTAGACACTAGCGTCTTTTGAGTGTCAGCGTCTTGCCAACGCACGCACAGCGGCCAGAGCGTCGTCGACGAGACGACGTCGGCGTCAGCCGCGCGGCAGCGGCGGCGGCGCAACGCCAGCACGGCGTAACTGTACCCGACGTTCGGCACCATTCCACAGTCGTCCAGTGCTGCCTAGCGAAGCCCGATTGTGAATGATTTCAATATTCGACACGTTAGTAATGTCATTCGAATGCCAAATTAGTTACCTACTAATTTTCGTATTCGAATGATTTGAACGATCATTCATTACTAATTAGTAGTATTAATCCATAGATTCCATAGAGCATTTCTGCTCGTGATCATCTAGTCCTCTCTGATATATGATAAACACTGTAAATGTGACGGGGACAGGGATATTTTGTGGTATGGACATGATGAATTAGGTGTTCCTATATAATAATCATTCGAGTCGTGCACCCAACCGACTATAAGGCATTTGGTATTGATAAATCATTCAACTAGAGTCGGATGATTGTGTTTGGATTCGACTTATTCGAATGATTTACCCATTCGAATGATTAGTGTTAGTATCATTCAAAGTCGCGCATTGCAATTGCTGGCGTTGCGCCGCCGCCGTGCAGACGTCGCCGTCGTGTCAAGTTAATGCTATACGTGCGTTGGCAAGACGTTGTCGCTCGAAGGACGCTAGTGTGGGGTGTCTCTTAAACAGATTATACTTATTTATTAAATACGTATGTATTATAATAAATACGTGTATAGTATCCAAAACTACTTGCCATTCTGACGCAGAGGCGTGGCAGACTAGTATGCCAATCGGGTCTCTGTCTCGGGTTCGATTCCCGAACTGAGAGAAGTATTTGTATGGCCTACGTTTAAATCTTTCGTGAGTTTGGGTGTAATTTGTGGTTGTATATGTGTGTGTCCACGGCACCCATGACAGTAGGGTTTCCCTAGTGCGAGGCCATGAGTCTGTGTTATTTATTATATTTATTTTATAGTCCAACAAATTAAGAAAGTGAAGCAAGTAAAATTTAATGAAAATTTCATTAGATACGACAACTGACCTTCTCCAATACCGCTATTCAACAGCACTCCCCAAGCAAACCAAATCGCACTAGAAAGATTTAGCGCATCCTCTTCAGTACCATCGATGTTAGCAAGCTTGAATCTTCCAAATGGGGAGAACCTGTCCAATAAGTACAAGACCAGCGCCACGACATGGACTGAAACCATCACCAGTATCCAGAGAGTGTTGGAAAATGGTTGCAAGAATGATACTAGAGTGGAAGATCGCGATGGCTGCGAAAAAAAAAAACAATTATTTTCTCTTTTTATTTACTTTTTTATTTTCGGCACTCGCAAAAAAGGCTAAGAATTTTCTTATTTCCTCTACGATCGGTCAAGAGACGGGGCAAACAAATCGTGCACCCGGTGGTATGCGATACGTCTGTCTATAACAGTTGCAGAGCTTTAAATCACAAAGATCTGAGAGGTACCGCCACTACGCCCGTCACCCTAAGACGTAAGTTGAAAAGTCCCATGTGACTGCGATTTCACCAGCATCTTATCCTTCAAATCGCAGTAATGCTCACATCATACACATGCGCACAAACACACACACACACTCATACATACACAATAACATACTCACGCACTTGCACGTATATTCTTCCCAGTATAAGGCGCTACGTACTACTTAAGAACATATTGATGTAATTTTATCTGAGTTGGGAGGCCTGGAGACCTAAAATACAAATCTTTGATTTAGTTTAGGCTCCAGCTTTGTTGACAAATGTACTTTGTTCTGTAAAATATTTACTAAGTTATTCATAAGTACCTTGTACTGAGGAAGGAGAAATAAACGATTTTTATTTTTTATTTTTATTATTATTCCTGCTTGGCTGCAGAAATAGATAAGGTAAAGTGGCAGTACTTCCCTGGACGAAATCATTCACAAGGAACTCCACTGCTGCTAAAAAAGGAGCTCTACTCTACTACTCAATTTCACAAGACATAAAAACGATATAATATGTTTTCGTTAGTCGTATTTAGATTCCTATGAAAAGTTGTAGGTAACTATCACCTTTTTTTCCAGAATCGTAATGCCTTGATACTTAAACGGTTTGCTGAATTCTATAAATTCTGCCCTTTCTGGGTTGATTGTCAATGGTGCTACGATCATGTCTGCTCGTTCATAGACCAATTCCCCTGCAAACATAAAAATATTATTGTAATATCACTCGAAATTTGATTTGGCACTGAGTAGGTACTTATAAGCATTGCGTATGGGAGCGATTAACGTTAAAATTTTGAATATTTCCACTTTTATTGTTTAAAAAGTTATTGATGCCGTTTTACTCATTGGGTAACGTACTTGCGATATTAATTTAAAGGTTTTTGATATCTCTTATATTTACGGAATTATCACCCGGATGGGAACACTTGATTATTACTCCATGTATATCGATGGGTCCTACATATAAGGGCCAAACGAACCATTTGATAATTTCGACTTTTTAGTGGGAAATGCTTCATTTCATTATAATCTATAAAGTAGCGTAAAATCAAAGTCAAACATATTAAAAGAGAACTCGAAAAATCTTGAAAATATACCAGATAGAAAGTTTGGAAGCCTCTTCCGTAAAATTGTGATTTTGCGCTTTGACCCTTATACTTTGGACCCATCGATATAGACGAGTACTCTTAAAGACAGTATTACCTATAAGTCCAGTCCATTCTTTCTTCGATCCAGGCATAGATAGATTCCGAACGACGAAGTTCCCAAACTGACCATCAGGTGACAGAGCCAATGAGTACGTAAAGTTGATAGCTTTCGATAAATGCCTCAAGAGGTCCATACAGAATCCTTTGCAGCAGTACAACGTATCTTTAAAATCAAACTTCAGTTAATCGAAAGTTTACGTCGTTATATTTTATTGTAATCACCTACTTAAGTTTAATTTTGCATTTAAGTGATTGTTGATTACTTACCAGTCGCGTCACTTGTGTTGTAATGAGGACAGGGAATCTCATTCGGTGTACATTCAGCTTCTATTTCAACTTTCCGCGCATAGACGAAAGGTGTTTCTTCTATCGTTAGCACCTGCAGAAACGAAATCACAATGGTTTTATTGTTACAACAATTAGGAGGGTTATGTTTTTCAAGTGTATGTATGTATGTATGTATATCCCACAGACATATATATGTCTATGGTATATCCATTTCTTTTTCACGCTGTACAGCCTAAACCGCTTGATGGACTTTAACATATGATGTGTCATTAGATTCCTCTTGATTGTGGGAGTGTCATAGGCTATAAAAAAATTATCAAATTAGTGAGGGGTAATATTTATTTTTTATTTTTCCAACTAAATATTTTTGCTGTCGGGCTTTTGTCTTTGTAAATAATTTTTACACTTGTTATATCTCCATATGTCAATGATAAAGCCTTGTTTTTATTGAATCATACCTTTAGGTGCGTTGGTATCATAAACCCTTCTGGTTTCGAAGGACTCCGACCCATCCAAATGATCTCGCTTTCTTTTAGTTCTAATCTCATTTTTTGAGTATCCTAAAAGCAAATTGACAAAAACTATTACGATATTTTGATTGAATAGTCTGGTCCTCTATTTTAACAGGAAACAGTGCAACATGATCTAGGTAGTAGTGGTGTAGTGTTAGCAATGGGGGCGTCGGAGAGCGCAACCGAGCCCTAACTAGTCAAAATTTTTTTTTAACTTAAATCTAGAAAATAAATGCCACTATTTGAGAAAACGATATCCTGAACAACACAAAGGTGTCGACGACAGGCGAACTTTTATTGACTTCAGGGTATTTTTTATAATATGTAGTGTCGGGACGAACAAGTCGTGCGCCTGATAGTAAGCTACACGCCTGTCCATGACAGTTGCAGTGCGACTCAGAGCTACAAAACCGCAAAGACCTGAGGGGCACTGCCACTGCGCCAGTTTCCCTGGAACATAAGTTGACAAGTCCCATGTGCTTGTAATTTTACCAGCACCCTTAACCCTTCAAAACTGGAACGCAGTAATGCTGACATCGTTGCTTGGCGGCAGAAATAGGTAAGGTGGCAGTGCTTCCCTGGACGAACTCTTTCACAAGGAGCCTTACTGCTACTGAAGTGCTGCGTAACATTTCTACTGCATGACATTTCGAGATAATTTACTACTTTCTGAAATGCTGTAGTTGCTTCCCACTACTGTGAGATGTCGTAATAAGCTACCAAGGCTCATTGGTCTTTTACAAGCTGCATTTTCGTTATCGCGAATCGAAGTAAAGCACTTGCCTGTTGTTCAGTTGAGCTATGTTACCCATGCCGTGAGTGTTGGATGTGAATGTCATAAAAAATGTTAGCGCCATTACAACGGAGGAAAGTTGTAAACGACCTTTTGTACCTATTATAGGAGTTAGCGGTCCCGCTTTATGATAGACGTGTAGAATTTTCGTACCTTAGAATAGAAGTATTTTCCTACAGCCACATGTTCTCCTTGAGCTCTAACGTTCACCATGTCGTATTCAGCATGGACCCTGTCTCCATGGTCATCGAAAGCCACGTGGCCTGTGGCCCCATTCTCCAAGCTCTGCTTTCGGATGTAATCAAACAGCAGCCTTCCTGTTGTCCAAATGGATCCAGAGTTATCACAGTCTGAAGGTGGTGCGTGGATCTCCTCAGAAGTGTTCATATCACGGATTGCAGACGCCAGAACGTAACTGTAAACAAATGCTTAGTCAAATATGACATAGATTTGTGCAGTACCAGTGTAGGCTCGATTCGACGAACATTTACTAAGCAATACTTTAAATAATGATCTACAGAGATAGATAGATAATGAGAGCATTATTTTGTTTCCTGTCTATAAGATGTGCGTGTTGTTGATTTTGCTATGTAGGGTCCAATATTTTTCCTTCTTTACCCTTTCCTTTTTTTCCCCTGTATTGGCAAGTGTACCTGTTCTCAATGTGTAAAATAATATTATGTTGTCTACATTTCAATAACAATGTTTTAGTTTCTGCTGACTAAAAATTTAACTTATTTTTTGTGCTACTTCTGGAGATTTGTGATTATTATTTTCACCTGTACATGACATATGCCTATTGTTAAAAATTCGCTGTAATTCTTCCAAAAATAAATAAATATTTGGGTAAAGTAGTGTAGGTACCACGTGTTCGATCATACTAGTTAAAATGAAATTTGTTACTCCCTTGTTCATCAGTCTTACATAGAATCTTGAATATGAGCGTGTTCATTAGTTGCGTTGACGAGACGTAATCCCAGAAGTCCTTCTGGTGCATTAGCAGCGTCCAAGGCTTGTTCAGTGACCATCCATACGTAACCAGCCGTGGTCATGTTCAAGAAAGTCGCGTCTCGAAAAATTATTTCCGCGTCTGTTTTACTGCAAGAAATCATAACGAAAAGAATAATTGTAACTTTTATCGAAAAAAAACCGACCACAAAAGTTCGTGGAATTACATCTATTTGCCAAGTTACCGTTAGGTTACCGGAAACTGCGCAAAACCGGATTTATTTACCCTAGTTTGCCACTAGGTGGAATATTTTCTTCAAATTTAAATGGGACCAAAACTGAGGTACCCTCTTTCCAACAAAAAAGAATTATCGAAATCAATTTACAGAGTATTCGCGTAACATACAAACAAAAAAATATATAGTAGAATTGAGAAGCTCCCCCTTTTTTGAAGTCGGTTAAAAAGCACTAAATTATTTAGTCATATTAATTATTATAAGGGCGTTAAAACCAAAAATAAACATTTGTAACAAACGCATAGAAAAATTGGTAAGGTCTGCTGACTCGATCTATTGCTCCGAGTTCTGATTCTGAGATTCTTCTGAATCAGAATCAAATTCAAATTCAAAATAATCTTTGTTTCATAGGTAAGCATTATTACACTTGAAATCGCCACAATGGTTAAACTCTACCGCTCATTCGTAAGGCAGAGATTCCCCTGAGAAAAATGAGCAAGAAACTCTAGGGGTTGCTCTTTATAAATAACATTTACAATATTTTTTTATTTTATTTGAAACATCAGAGATCGAGACTACCTCCATGAGCTAAACGGGTTACTACCACGGATTTTTGTCATCCAAGTACGCAGAAGTTGTATAATAACCGTTTTTCTTCGACTCTTATAAGATCTAAGGAAATTTTCCTTGTGTTCGATCTTTGTATTAATAACAAATTAGTGGAGTAATTTTACCAACAATAAATTAATATCGCACTGCTATTACAATAGTGTAGCGTATCAAAATATGTGAAATTCAAGATTATACTATATTAAGATATTGCTAGACATAAAATTTTAATCTCTACGGGTCAATAAAACCTTCATTAGAATATTGTAAGAAACAATTGAAAGATATCTACTTAACTCAAAATGAGACAAACTTTTTATGACCTTATTCTGGATAAAACAGTACTCAGAAATACGATATAATTTTTTTTTTCCTTTTTTTTAAATATAATTGACAAGTAGGAAATTGTTTAGATGTCTGTAATAAACTTTAACCTATACATAAATTTGAATAATCTTTAACGAGAAGTGAGTAATTCGTTTTCCATCAATTCTGAAAAAAATAAACTTTTTGAGTTAATACACTTTTGCATTAACAGTGTGTTATCACGTTAGTAAAACAATAATATTAATTACAATCAATACTACTTTATTAATTTACTATTTTTTTTTTAATAATTATATATGAAAATGCTACTTTGAAGAATGTATTCAAAAATTTTACCTGGCATACATTAAAAAAACTCTTGCTTGTGCGTTTTTCACCTCCATAAGTTTGTTAGTAAACGAATCCAGTCCAGGTTCGAATTCAATTACTTGTTCCACTACAACCTTACGGTCTACATCTTCATCGACGCTTTGCGAAGTAGTTTGGAACCTACAAAATATCCGAATATCACACGGTTTTACTCGGTTTTACATTCAAGCATAGAATAAAATGCTTCGAATTTGAATATTTTACATTTTATCCGTCGTAGCACTAACAAATATAGGTAATAAATACCGCTTATTCCCAGTCGTCACCATTGATTTTGTGCCCACTGGCGACAAATGGGAAAAAAACCACATGTTACCAGATGAAAACAAACGGGATAAAAAAATCGCAGTTGTTGCCAGTGGTGATTTCTATTGGCGACAAATGGGAAAAAGCCCATAGAAGAAAGGCATAAATGGAATTATGTCAAAGGCGTTTAGATTCTGAAAAAAATAACCCACATCCTCTCCAACTCTTGTAACTCTATCGGCTAATATTATAGACAGAGTTACAAGAATTGGAGCGGATGTGGGTTATATTTTTCTGTATCTAATGGAGCTAAACATTTTTGACGTAACTCCACTTATGCCATTCTTCCATTAGGGGTGTGTATATGTAACCAAGTGGTGACAAATGGGATAAATAGATCGTTAGTGGCGAGATTATTTTTTTTGGCTGATATTGTGATAAGTCGCAAAGAACAACTTATCGTACTTTTCTTAAAACCATTACATTGATTTGTAAATAAATCGAACTTTCGTTTCTGGTTATTCATGAAATCGATTTTTTCTGTACATTTTCATAGTTAACGTACCTGCCGAGGATAGCCCGGCCGTCGGTGTCGGAACTGTGGATTATGATGACCTTCATATAATTGAAATATTTCAACACGTCCACCCATACATCTGCCTGATGCGAATAGGGAGGTACAGTACGCAAAAATGACACGTGTATGTTCTTATCGGAAAAAGCAGAATCCCGTGACGATATACCGATGACTGGGATGTGATAGAAACCGCTTGTGTAGGAAACTGCAGCTGGAGACAGATCCCCAGTCAATGGATGAGATACAACGACCGCATATACCTAAAATGTTAATACATTAAAGAAACCTTGAAGGAAACGCTTGGTTGTACTTAATGCGGAACTGATCTACTTACCCTGTGCGCTATAAGGTCCTTGCAAACGTTCAAAGCTGTCTTTATCGGATTAGGGTCCATGAGAATAGAATAGTCGTGATAAGTCACTCCTTTTGGTACGTATTTATCTTTGAAGTTGAGGTTCTAAAAATAAATCATTTACTATTAACCAAGAGTATCAACATCGACTAATATTGTAGACAGAGTTACAAGAATCGGAGAGGATGTGGTTTATATTTTTCTGTATCTAGTGGAGCAATAAAAATTTTTGACGCAGCTCCACTTATGCCATTCTTCCATGAGGAGTGCGATATGTATGTCCTACTTGCTTTGGGTTCCTCAAAAAAAGCAAACAAATTATATTATTATATTACTCATAGTATTCGTCAATCGGTCATAATTACATGCATTAATATTACTAAGGCATTAAATCATTAATGACGGCGTCAAAAATGTCTTACAGAAATGGTATCCTTGAAGAAAGCAACTGACTCGTTGCTAGAGAGGACGCCACCGACATTATAGTAGGTAGGGTTGGAGAACCTTCGCCGGTCGATTTCGGCCGCGACGAGCTGACTGCTGGCCACCGCAGCCAGCACCACGGCGTAAGACCACATCCTCTCTACACACAATACACAAATAAACTTGATATTAATCGTTAAATGGGATCAGTAACAAATCGCCACAATTGTTAGAGTAAAACAATTCAAAGAGAGGTAGGCACAGAGAAATGCGCCTCAAATTCATTGCACGATATTGATAACTATGCTTTTAAAATAAAGTATGCTCTCTTGCTATAAATTACAACTGCCTCTGTGGCCGAACAGTTACCACGCTGGTCCGCCACGTAGAGGTCCCGGGTTCGATTCCCGGGCCGGGAGAAATATTTGTACCTAAGCCCTATATTTATTTCTCTCGTGAGCTTGCGTGTAATTTGTGGTGTTCATTGTGTGTATCCATGGCACCCATGACACAGGGTTTCCCTATTGCGGGGCTACGAGTGTGTACGTCATAAAAGTTATTTAATTGAGCTCATAATTTCCTAATGTATATATTACGGAACACGGGATAACAATTAGGTTGTCTTATTTGATACGATCGCAATTAGGCGCCGTCGCAAATCGAGACATCTACATCAAAACGTTAATTCAGAAAGGCGAGTACTCGCCGGTGAGGGAGGTATTCGTAATGTAATGCTCGAAAACGAATCTTCAACGTTACCTAGATTAGGTACAGGTGGTACAGGTGAAAGTTTGCGGCGAGCGCTCTTACGTTGAAATAAAAATCTAAATTTTTCTGCATGATTATGTTAAAATAAAATAAAGGATTTTGATCCTCTCACGTAGTATAAAGCTATGTGGCATTTGCCTGGTTTGTTGTTAGCCTTTGTCCTACGAATATAAAGACGTCTACATTATTTTAGTGAATAATATAATTATTCTGACTATCCTTCACATATTAATGACATATTGCTTCAAAAAAGCTGTGGTAGCCTAATAGTTGACTCGAAACTCGATTTACAACAAACATTTATTTAGTAATTATTATAGCTTTTTTATTTTATTTTACCTAAAATTGTTTGTCTTTTAACAACTTGTCATTCTTCTTTCATTATCGATATTGTACCTACTTGAAAAGTCTATGTGAAGTCTTTGGTTTCACGCTACTTAAAAACTCTATGGAGTCTTTGATATAGGTAACAGTTGGACAGACCTACTGGTAATCGTAAATCCTATTTGTTCTGTTAACAGAAAAAATGGGAAGAAAAGTACCAGTAATCCTGTCAACAGAACTGTGCAACAGTACTAGTGGAAATAGAGGGTTTAACCTACCGCTTTGAGCTGAACTTTGAGTTTCTCGGAATTCATGTGCGAATTTAATTTGAAATTGACCATGAGTTTTTCGGTGCAGAAAAACATCGCGATCGCAGATTTCACTATACGTAAAAGAAAGTTCATAACTCTCGAAAAACTGAAGTCTCCAACCCGCATTAGGCCACCGTGGCGGACCACGGCCTATACCCTCTCCTGAGAGGAGACCCGTGCCCATAACTGGGACGTACCTATAAATGGGTTGATGTTGTTTGTTGTATTGCCTCATTAATCATTGCTCAATCAAGTTTTAGCTAATTTGGTCTGTTAGATCAGAAAGTATCAAGTTGTTACTGTCAAAACGCTCAACTGTAAAATCGCGATTTTACAGATGTTTGCAGACAACCACTTTTTTTGTAATATCAAGTGACGGGACGAGCAAGTCGTGCGCCTGATGGTAAGCTACACGTCGGTCTATAACAGTTGCAGTTGCAGAGCTTTAAATCGCAAAGATCTAAGGGGCACTGCCACTGCGCCAGTTTCCCTGAAACATAAGTTGACAAGTCCCAAGTGCTTGTAATTTTACCAGCACCCTAGAGCGCAGTAATGCTGACATCGTTGCTTGGCGGCAGAAATAGGTAAGGTGGCAGTGCTTCCCTGGACGAACTCTTTCACAAGGAGCCTTACTGCTACTGCAGTGTTGCGCAGGTAGCAGCTGATTGTGCTATTGTAGTTCAATGTACTCCTCCTTCCTCCATACTACTGCATGACATTTCAAGATAATTTACTTCTTTCTGAAATGCTGTTGTTGCTTCACCGTCACCCTGAGATATAAGTTGACAAGTCCCATGTGCCTATAATTTCACCAATACCTTATCCTTCAAAACCGAATCGCTCTAAACCGGAACACAGTAATGCTAACATTACTACTTGGCGCCAGAAATATGTAAGATGGCAGTACTTCCCTAGACGTACTCTTTCACAAGGGGCTCTACTGCTGCTTACTCTTTGCTGTCTTCGAAATTTCATCGAAATGTCTCTAATAATAATATAATATTCAAATGGGGACTAAAAGTGCGATACTACGTCTAAGACTAGACAACAGTATAAGATAAGATATTTAAAGAAATGTATCTTATTAATGCGAAATGAAAAATAAACATGTTCGCTTTCTATTGACATGGTCGGGCTTCATCTGCAATTAAGTTAGTGGCGCGTGGTATTTAATCGATACCACAGTTAAGGCACCGATCACACTGCGGTTGAAAGTTTTTATGAGTGCGGTTTTATGAGAGATTGTCGGCACATTTGACGCTTGAATCGTACTTGAGGGGTTTGACCTTTATAAGCTTTGCCGAGTTTATAGCGCGCCGCCCCGGTCGTATTACGGGATGCATATTGTATGAAGATACGTAATGTAAAGTTTTGCCCCAGCGTGCTATTATTACATTCCCGATTTTGGAACGCGTTTGTGAATATATTGTACAGTCTAAAATGCAAATTCATTTTTTCGTGCCAATTTTACACTGGGTGTAGTATTAGCAAGTAATGCATGTACCTCAACTTTTAATAATCTCAGTACAGAATACTAAAAAAACCGACCAAAAAAATTCGTGGAATTACATCTATTTGCCAAGTTTTATTGAAATCCGTTACCGGAAACCGGATTCATCACCTACTATGCCATCCTTAGAGGTGGAATATTGTCTTCAAATTTAAATGGGACCAATACTAAGGTACCCTCTTTCCAACATAATAATCATCAAAGTCGGTTCACAAATATGTCGGAGTTATCGCGTAACATACATAAAAAACAGTCTAATGGAGAAACTCCTCCTTTTTTGAAATCGGTTAAAAATAATAATGACCAATGATCGGAATACGGTGTTACAAATGAGTTTTTCACGCCCTCTGTGGTCGAGTGATCTCTGAGGGAAATCCGGCCCGCGTTCAATCCCCGGTCGGGTCATTGTAGAAAAACTAACTTCTCTGTATTGTGTCGGGTCTGGGTGTTTGTGGTACCTTCGTTGTTTCCGATTTCCATAAGACAAGTGTTTTGGCTACTTGCTTTGGGATCAGAGCAAATGTGATATTGTCTAATATTAAGTTACTTTAATATTTAGTAACGAGTTTAGATACGTGTACGTATACGCGACGAGTGATATGGAGTGGTTAAAATCACCAAATGTTAATTAATTATTTTATTAGAAATCGGAATTTACGGAAATAGTTTTATTGCAGTATTACTTCAAACAAAGTATTGCTCGTAATTTATGAAAAAAAAAAGTTAATTTGGTGAAAGATTACTTTATCTATTACATTTATCATGGCGTCTCTAGAATTACTTTGAAATCCAACTTCAGCTTCCTCAGTCAGTAGTTTATCTGACTATGCAGCAAAACTAAAATAATTAAACAAAATAAAAAGTTACTAAATAAATTTAGTGTTTTTAACGGTAACCAATCATATCTATAGTAGTCCGAAATGACATTTTCTAGAAATAATGTTTGCTCGAATTTTACAATCTCGAAAGTAATTTTGAGAGGAAAATGTTTTTTCTTTTAAACCTAACTTAACTTAACCTAACCGAATCTAATCGCGTCTTTGCGATAAATATCCAACATATCCTGAAAGAACAACGGTTTCGTTATAATTCGGTTTTCGGTGTTAATGAAAATTCGAACAAACGTTATTTCGGAAAAAAAATTCGAGTTTGTGTCAGGTTACCAGTTTTAACCACTCTATGTCATTCCTATATCATATCTACTCATTTTTCCAAATGAATATCCTATTCCGGTAATTACTGATAATGACAACCATTGAAAACTTGCAACAATGAAATTTTTATTGTCTGTGCAAGAAATTTGCATATAATACTTAGTGGCTAGTCTAAGGGTCGTATTCCAGAACTCTACTCAATGCTCAAGTCAGGACTTGAGTATTGCAGTGAGCACTGAAAATCATACACAAGTCCTTGCCATTAGGGTCGTATTTCCAGTGCTTGTGTTTCCAGTGCAATCCTGACTTGAGCATTGAGTAGAGTTCTAGAATACGACACCAAGATATAATAATACTGACTGCACTCATGTTGCGCTCACTTTAATTCATATAAATAATAAAAAGAATTCTAAACCTTAGCGAGCGCATTATAAACCTTGTTGCAATGGGGTCAAGCTTCACTTAGCGTCTAAGTATTCAATCGACCCCGCCCTCACCCCTTTGATGAAATGATGCCAGAGGGAAACTAAACTTTAATGCATAGATATGTATACTCTTAGAATAATAACGCATAGAATGATAGTTTCATATCAAACGAACGGTCACAAGTGAGGCAAAAACCAAATTCATGTAGGCGTAAGCAACTTGTAACTACGCTCGTCGGCACGCACACAAATATACAAATAATAATGCCATGGAATAACATTTCCCTCAAAAGTGGGGAAATTGTATCTTGCTTAACTCATAATTAAGTTGAAGGTGCCTACAGATTTGCCCGACATTATCGATCAGGTGCCTACAGATGTGCTCGATTTTGTCGATCGTTACTGTCGATCGACAATGTCGATCAGGTGCCTACAGATATGCTCAGTTTTGTCGATGAAAAACGAATATAGCACTTATTTGTAAATCCAAGATGGTGGACACGATTTTTCAAAATATGCTATATGGGTATCCTTTTCGAGGTATTTGGGGATGCTCATTACGAATATGGCACTCATTTCTAAATCCAAGATGGCGGACACGAGTTTTCAAATAAATGCAATATGGGTATCATTTTCGAGGTACTTGGGGGTGCTCATTACGAATATGGCACTCATTTCTAAATCCAAGATGGCGAGCACGATTTTTTCAAAAAAATGCTATGTGGGTATCATTTTCGAGGTATTTGGGGATGCTCAATGTGAATATGGCACTATTTGTAAATCCAAGATGGCGGGCACGATTTTTCAAATAATGGCAAGTTGGGTATCGTTTTCGAGGTATTTGGGGGTGCACATTACGAATATTGCTTTTGTTTGAACTGTCGTGTTTGCCATCTTGGATTTAGAAATGAGTGCCATATTTGTATTGAACATTCCCAAACATCTCGAAAACGATACCCAACTTGCCATTATTCGAAAAATCGCGCCCACCATCTTGGATTTAGAAATAAGTGCCATATTCGAAACCTAAAACCGAAAATGCCATAAGCAAACATTAAAGAAAATAACTGTTAAAATAGATTAAAAAATCGCTTAATGCCCCCCTTTTAAGAAAATAAAATATTTCAATATAAAATATTTCGCTTGAGTTACGAAAAGAAAGACATATAATAAGCTATCAAAGTTGTACTGGTGGTGCCAACACTATAGTAGAAACAAATATATACTGTAAATTTAAATTAAATTTGCAATATGTGCTCCAATTCAAATAAAATTAAAATAAATAATTATTCAATAAAGCACGAACGCAGAGCCGTTAAAAGTATTATAAAATAATTAAGTGTCCCAATCACTTACAGGAGTTAACGAAAACATTTAATGTTTATTCAAGTAAATATTAGTTCAAGATGCGCAAATAAATCGAAATTACCAGGCACCACTAAAATTTACGTAATATAATTATTTTGATACAGAATAGCAAAATGAGGAGAAAAAAAAATTCGTTACTTTGCAACACTTTCGTATCTTGTTGCCGCGAAATTATTTTTCTGTTTTAGTGAATAATTACATAAAAATATGAGTTGAAACGCATTACTTACTTGTGAATGTGATGTTAGTGTCTATTTTATGTTTGTCTGTTCTATTTTTACACCCATTTACCGCACATTTCGTCATTTTTAGCAAACAATTTTGGAGCTGTTCGCGTTGCAATTTGACCTTGAGCACTAACAGCCCGCACGCTCCTGGGAGCCCGTTGGGAAGCCTTTAACTTGCCTCACTTAGCGTGTGCGGGCTAGGTTTCTATGCGTTATTATTCTAAGTGTATACTCTACATACTCTGGCTAGCTTACATAATCATGCGAATTGTACGAAATAGTATTATTCGTAGTATCGTTGCGTAATGCTGGTTCGTAAAGTCGAGTACCGTGTGTCTCGTACCTAAATAATAGGTACGAGATTTTAAAACTTAATTATGTAATTATTGCACACATTACTATATCTATGAGTATATTAAAATAATTAAACATATCCAATATATGTACTTATTTGTTAATTAGCCACGACAACGAACGAAAGTCAAACAAACGTTACGAAAAAAAAGATAGAATATAAATATGTCCGTGATTTTTCAACCAATCAGGAGGCATTGGAGCGGTTGTCTAGCGTCATATTCGATATTATAAATTGTTTTAAAATATTTCTTTTCTACCAAATGGTTACGTTTTCGTACATGTTTTAATAATTTGAATATGAATAATTTCACAAATATGGGATGTTATTCTATTCAGGAACACAGTGACGCGTTACCTTTTAATGCGTCACAAAACTCTTTTCTTTTTTTTAAACTCATTATAGCCCTGTGCTCAGAAATTTATCGAAAATTGTTCAGTTCTAGAGGATGAAGGTTCTAGCGAATACCATAGACAACAGAATTTTGATTCAGAAATAAAAAGAGCGCCTTTGCGATATGGTTTATTCTATAAATGGTTAATGCTCTAAGGGTTTTTTTCCATCCTCTAGGGGGTTTATGAAATTATAATTCACCTAGAGTACAGGAGTAGAAAAAGATACTTAATTATGTGAGTTTTCGGACTAAAAAGCATAAATTAAATCGCTCATTTAGTGCAACATTGACTTAATTGCAATTTTGGCATAATTGAATTAAGACTTAATTAATTACATATTAACATCCTTTATCCAAATTTGCCAAAATTACAATTACATCAATGTAGCACCAAATAAGCGAAATGTGAATACGTTTATTGCAGACCATTTGTTGACCGCGAGTTTAGAATTCTCGTCTTTGTATAGGGTACCTGCTAAATGTTATTCAACAAACAACAAACTATATAAAAATTTCAAAATTTATCGTAATTTATTGTGCATTGTTAAAATTACTTATTGGCGGAAAGTTTGAAACTTTTAAACTTTTTAAAACTATCATATACTGATAACTTACCGTAACGATCAGTTAATATTTAATTTTAATATCACTATCTAAGTAAATAAATACACAGCATAGTCTGAATTATTGTATGTACGTACGCTTAATTTTATTTAGAAACTTGAAACACTGTAACTACTATTGTTAATTACGCATAATTATGCTTATAATTTTAGATAAAGGTGTCGAAAAAATCTATAGAACTGCTTAACCATGTTATCTTAAGACAGTTTTGATTAGAAAACGCGTAGCATTTAAAATATGCTAAAAACTTTCATTGTTCTCTTCGTCTAGAGGAGTTAATGAAATTTGACTCGTACGTCGTAGCGTCCCTTGAAACCACTTATAGTTTCAGCCTCAACTATTATGCGTACATCTTTTATAGGCCTTAAGCGCGTTGACGATAAGCTTTACGTAACATTACGTAGCATGTAAAGACCGCGACCAAATTTAAATTAGGGGTTGAATAATTTCGGCACACCCATTTCCCTTCACCGTGTTTTTTGGTACGCTACATCAGTAATTAATTCATGCATAATATTTATTTTATTTTCTCTTACCTTAAGTTCAGTAATAGTTTTACAGGTAGTTTGTATCACTTTAGTTATCACATCGTAATTTTTTAAGAATAACTCGTATCATGTACGATGTACAGTTGTCTACAGAATACTACAGAGTGTGAAGCTGGGTGGGTACGTCAGATGGAGCCTCATCTTATGTTGCGTGGTGACCGCGCATGCGTACTTGGCTAACAATTTGGGTAAAGACAGAGCATTCTAAGTCATTATATAATGTTGACGCCCTAAAAGTTTACCTCTTTTTAGACACTACGACGACATATAGAAAATATAATTTCTCGATTGACGTGAAACCGTGGCAAGTTCTGTGTTCGTCACCGTTCTCATTGGTCGCGCTGCATTTTCACATCCTCCTCGTGTTCATTACGATCGAACTAGATATTTGGCGCCATAGTACAAACGAATTCAAGAGAATGTGCACTACTTGCTTAACCTAATACAATTAATTGAAATGACATCAGATTTGTATAAACTAATTCACGAGTTCACGTAATCTCAGTAACTAAATTGGTAGGTAATTAAAAATACATGTCGTCGGTGTTTTGTAGAAAAGGCAAAAGCGCCATTTAAAAAAAATCAAGGGAGTGTTTTAGGTTTTAACGAATGTTTTAAAATATTTACGTCCAGTATTAAAATAAAATTTTAGTATTAATTAAGTTTACGTTTTAAAACTGAATTTAAAACAGCACGTAAATATCTTAAAACAGTGGTTAAAACTAAAATAAGCTCCTCTGGAAAAATTATCGAAATGGCGCTTTCGCCTTTTCTACGTAACACCGATGATATTTAATTATACTATCATGAACACGTACCTAGTTATCAAATAGTCATGGTCATATTAACCGCCGCTTTTAAATGAGTATAAGTATTTTCAGTCTACAATCTTTTCAATTAACGCACACACTCTCAACACTATATACTAAATCTATGCACTCAACATAGCCCCGCACTAGGGAAACCCTGTATTGCGAGTGCCATGGACACACACAAAGATAACTGCAAATTACACCCAAACTCACTAGAGAATTAAATGTAGGTTACACAAATATTTCTCCCGACCCGGGAATCGGACCTGGGACCTCTGTGTGGTAGTCCGGCATGGTAGCCGTTCGGCCACAAAGGTATTAACTTTATTGTTATCTCAAATTGAATTTTTATCTTATTTAGTCTCTTTAATCATCAATAATAAATCCCAATTTCTTGAAACTATAATATACTATTATATACTAAATACCACAGAATGTTTCAATAATTGGATTATTTGGTATATAAAAATTAAAAAAAAAACGTACACAATATCATATCAAAAACGAAAACATTATGATATACGGATCACTTACGTAAAAGCAGTAGTACTAAACAAAAAAATTCTTATTCAACATTTTATTCATGATTAATCATAACTCGTATAAAAACTAAGTCCACTATAAATCATAATTAAATTACACGTTTCTGTTAACATTATGCTCAAATATTATAATCACACATAAATGAAGAGCTAAAAAAGAAGAAAATTGAGAAAATAAAACCACTTATTACGTACATATTCGCATTCAAATTATACACAATCTAATTATGGTAAAAGCAACTCTATATTTTATTTATATATAGTTTATTTATATGTTGGCCTGAATAATAGCTATACCTATATCCTTCACAATAATAATATTACCTGCCCCTCTCTTTCCTCAGTTATCTTCGCACTTTTTGAGAATAAATATTTGTAATAACTTGGTAAAGCCACTTACACAAATACATTCAAATTTCGAATATCTCTGAAAAACAAAACAATTCGATTCGACCTCAATTCTAATATCAGTTGAGATAAAGTTTTATTCGAAATAAAATGTCAATAGCAAACAATTTTGACAAATTTCACACGTTACTTGATATCGAACGATATGATAGTCGGGGCCGACTCTAGTTTGTCAATGAATTAAATAAAAAGTACGGTCACACATGACATGCGTGAGAAAAGTTTTTATTTGCCGCTATTTCGCCGGGTCGTAACATGCGGCTCCTGAACACATCCTAGAGAGCTTATATAATATGTGTGTATATATAAAGCAGTGTATGTAAATGTATATAATTATGCATTAAAACACTCGTGTGATGTTTTTATGAAACCAATACTCGTGTTTAAATGCCTTTCATTATGTAACAGTCACATAAACTACTATTTTAGTTTCGATGGCTCATAAAATATTCTTAGATGGTTTTCTATATTACTCATGGATCGAAATCTCAGCATGGCTAGGACAAAACATGTTTCGTGCATTATCTGAGTCTATATCTAGCTATGTTAGACACGCAAGTTCCTAGTAATTTTAAGAATCTAAGACCAAGCCCATGGGCCAGAGGCAGGTGACCACACTGGCCATGGAGCTGGCTTCCACGGCGCTGCGGGGCGAAGCGCGGCTGCAGCGAGGGAGGCCGCATGCTGCGCGGCCCCTGCTGCGCCTGCTGCCCCAGAGCTCTGCAGCACTGACAGCTTCAGAGCTTCGATATCTGAACAAAAGAAAGACGGTTATTTTATGCAACAATGAAGCACAGACCAAATCAAGAAAAATCATTGCTCTGAACTCTTTCGCTGTGATGGTATTACAAATTCTAAGCTCATTCGTCAAATAGGCATGTTATAAGTTTGAGAGTTATAAGTTTAGTACTGCAATCTAACCTATTTCTGCCGTCAAGAAGTAATGTAAGCATAACTGCGTTCCGGTTTGGTAGGGTGAGGGCTGGTGAAATTACCGGCGCATGGGACTTGTCAACTTATGTCTCAGGGTGACGGGTGCAGTGGCAGTGCCCCTATAATCTTTGCGATTTAAACTGCAACTAATAATAATAATAATAATAATAAAAATAACGCACACACTGTGTCGCGGGTGCCATGGACACACACATAGACAACCATAAATTACACCCAAACTCACGAGAGAAATAAATGTAGGCCATACAAATGTTTCTCCCGGCCCCGGAATCGAACCTAGGACCTCTGCGTGGCAGCCCGGCATGGTAACCGTTCGACCACCGAGGCAGTTGTCTTGGATAGGCGTGTCGCTTACCACCAGGCACACAACTCGTTCGACCCTTCACTTGGTATTATAAAAAAATAAGAATCATTACCAGTTATGTCTGTTTCCTCCATGGTATGGAACTTATTTGCAAAGGGTATTTTGTTTGAAAGTTGCAGTTTGAGGTCTGCAGTTTGATTAAAATGAAGATGACCGAGTTTTAACCTACAGTATGTGACTTAAAGTTACCAGCATTCTGCAGTCTAGTAGCTTGGTTATGCGCAGCGCGTTGTATAGCCCGGGCAGCAGCGGCTTCCCGCGCGGCTGCGACTTTCTGTGCGGCTGCAGCGCGGGCCTTTGCGCCCGCTAACTGCGCTTGGGCATGCACGGCGGCCTGTGCAGCAGCCAGCGCGTGCGCGCGCGCGTGCCGCGCTGCCTCCTCACTGGACAACGCGTAACATATTAAACGATTAACTCTTAGATAAGAGGCAGAATTAGTGGAATTCACAACGCTAAAAGCAAATGTGGCCTAATTATAATTGACGTAGGTGTACATCACGTACATACTTACTATTCGCATTATGCATTTTTCTACAAATAACACTGCTGATAACATCTTTTGTAATAGCAGGTATGCGTTTGAATTTGGCCCGCTACGCCGACTTTGAGTACGTGCCAAAAGCTAAGTGGGGAAATGGAAATAGTTCCAACTGATGAATGAGTAGTAGTAGAGTAGAGCGGACGGTACTATTTAGTTACATTATGAACTCGCTAAGCAAGACTTAGAAACGTTTTACTCTCGCGAAGTACTCATACTTTAATATCAAACACAGAGACGTGAATTGTTTCGCGTGACATTAGTGACTGGTGAGTGGTGAGCAGGATAACCAACAATAGGATAAGCACAACAACCGCCGAGCATTCTAGTATAAGTCACGCTTTATCATAGTAAGTTCCTAATTGAACATCGTACGAACTTTTGGGTATTTGGTCGTAGACCAGTTTTCGCCACATTTCTTTTGTAATAGCAAACTCATGAAAGTAACCTTTTATGGGCTGCATGAGCAGCAGCAGCCTCCTTAGCAGCGGCAATGCTTTGCTGCTCGAGAGCCGCGTGCTTCGCTGCAGCAACTTGGTCCTGGGCAGCCATGACAGCACGAGCTGCCGCTTTCGCCGCAGCCACTGCCCCTGCTACGTCTGAGCTGGAATCTGCTGTATATAATGAACATATACATGTATCATATACATTTTTTTATAATGCTAAGTGATGCAACGAACACGTCTTGTGTCTGGTGATAAGCGACACGCCTGTAACTCATAAAGAACTGAGGAGCATTGCCAGTGCGCACGCGCACCTGATACCCGACTTCTTCGCCCCGTCACTTGGTAACATTAAGAAAAATCAAATGTGTAATTAACCAACACTCTGAATATTTTTTGTCACACGAGCATATCAGAAGCGAGCACAACTTACCTTGATCAGGCGCCTGCCAAAGCACGTGGTCCTGAGCCAAAGCGGCCAGTGCCGCGTCCCAAGGCGTAGCGCTTCTCTTCTCTTGAGTTCCTCCATTGACAACGGTCATCAAGGCCAAAGTCAAGATCTGAATATGATTTAAGAAGATTAAAAACGGTTCCACAGAATTGTATTTGTTAGTGCTCCAGCTGGACAATATCGAGTACTATATCTATCGTATTATGTACTCCAAATGTTGTTTTGCAAGATGTACAGGACTTACTTCTTGTATGAGCTGCTCCATGACTTGCAAAAGAGCTGATGTTTATAAGCTTTGTGTAGGATAAATAAACATAACTAAGTCGTCATGAATTTAAGCGTGTGTATTTTCAATTTAAATTTTTATATACATATTAAATCTCATAAGCTGCCGACGGTTATTGTTTTTTTCCAAGGGGAGGTTAGCCATTCTGCCATCCACTAACTAAAACGCGGCAAAGTGACAAATGGTCAAATATCCGTTTTAAATAGAAAAAGACAGAGCACAGAATTCTCTCTTAAAACAGTTAATATACTGGGTTAAGATTTTTGATGGCATCTCAAAAATATAGACCACATTTTAGCTAACAGACGTTGCATTGTCTACCACAATAGACTTCGCGTCTTCGAAGAGCTAAGTTGTGATACACTTACCAATACTTTGTGAGCCATCTTGTTTATTTTTTGGTGGCTGTTTTCTGTTTGGATCTACCCACTACAGTGGTCCTTAACGGTGGACATCGGATGTTTTATATGTTAGTACACGGAAGATTAAGCTCGCAACAATAAGTGGTATTATAGAAAGGGATTGAACTAGCCATAGAAATAATTGCGCAGCTGACAAAAACTAGCTGTGTACTATCACTTCCCTTTCGATGGGATTATTGCAGAGCGTAGTACGACAAACTCACGATATAAGAGAGGCTTGGAAACAATATTATTACGTCATACCGTGTTTTCTTACGAGTTACTTGCATTGCCAGGTCAATAATAATTTGGGACACCGTAGACACATTTATGTATATTCCAATAACAATCCCGTTCTTCTACTACTAGATTGAACCTACGTAACAGATTAAGTCGTCTACGGATTTCTTTATATACGTTTACTATTCCTACAGATGCAACGCAATTGTATCTACTTGAGTTCTATAAGGCACATATTAAAATTCTATCTCCTTATACAATTACAAAATAATCCTATAATATTATGAGACTAAAAAGTGTTTTACCACTGTTTATGTCACAACGACTTGAATTTATTTTTCTTTCGTAGTTTTTTATTATCAACTCCTTTAAACACTAAAGTGGTATAATACCTACCCTATAAACCATGAAGGTATCGTAGTAATATCGAGTGGAAATTTTGCAATGCCGCTGTGAATTTTTGAATTATGTCGTGATTATACCTCTCTGTCTAGTATAACACAGGTTATCAAGCGCCTTAACAAAGCTGACGTCCTCCATTGATTCCTATTTACTCAAATACATGTGGCGATAGTTGCCGTAGCATCGTGATTACGTTGACGGGCTGAGATGGAATCTCTATCACTTTCGATAATTAATTAGCGACGTAGACAAACACTCAATCAGGCCAATGAATAGTATACCTAATTAGATTGACTTTACGTGCTCAGCAAATAATTGCAAGATAATATATCGATTTGTATAGATAGTAGGTAAACGTGGAACAATATACATCTACGATATATTACAAATATCGAAAGTATAAAGTTTTCAAATTACTCAGGAACCAATTAATAAAAAAAATAACAACTCGACAACGGTGACAGATTCATTTTTAAACCCACTTCAAAACAGGAGGAGTTCTCAATTCGACTGTATTTTATGTGTAACATTTGCGAATCGGTTTCGATGTTTCTTTTTTTTGTTGGATAGAGGGTACCTCAGTGGTGGTCCCATTAAAATCCCATTGAAGTCTATATTCTTGATCTAAGGGTGGGAAATTAGTGTAAGAAACTGATTTATTGAATTTCACGGCAAGTGTTCCGTTAAACGATTTCAATGAAATTTAGCATATAAATATAATAAGTGTGTGGATTGAGTGAGCACCCTCTGAAAGAAGTTTAAAATATATTAGTAATTTAGTCAAAGTTCTAAAATAATTGTAGAAACCAATCTTTCTATTTGTAAAAAGATAAAACAAAAGATAAATAACCTAATAGGTGCTCAGTACTCACAGAGAGCCAGTCAGATCTAGAAAAGTATTAATTTTGCATGCAATATTCGTGTACTAGTTTTTAGTAATAGTTTTGTCAAATTTTACAGATCGATTAGTGCCTTGGGTACTCACTCAATCCGCACACACGTAAATGTACGAATTCTAACAAAAAATAAAATTGTGACGTAGAGCTGATCCAATTATGGAAATGTCAGACAGATGGTCAGAGGAACTCCACAACAGTATATAATAGCAGCTACATAGTGTTTGGACTCATGTAAGAGAACGACTTCCATACGCGTTTCAGTTAACTTTGAAGAACCGCTGCTGTAACGAACACAATCACATCGAAGCAAACGATGGATATCGGTTTTTTTTTTTAATAAAAAAGTTGAAATAATCCAAATTGATTATAGAAATGTTTTAGCGGAGACGCAATAACATAAGTAGAAATAGAGACGAAATGTCATTTAATTTGTTTGAGAGCTGTTCTGTTAAAAAATTACATATTAAATATTTAATTACCGATGAAATGTGATTCCGTTTGTTTTGTAATTAGATGTTTTGCTGTTTTCCCACACCACCGAATGGAAAAGCCTCCATCATTAGAGATAATAGTATCTTTATTACAATAAATACAGAATATTTTTGGAATATACGAAGACATACACACAGGTCAGTTGTTGGCGCTGTACTATTTCAGCTTTCTAATTTGTGATTTCAGTGCGAACGAGAGTTGGTATTTAAAAGTGATATAAGGCCCATTTGCCTGATGTGTTGCCAGGGATGGAAGGCCCTTATTTCGTCTCTATTTCTGGTTATATAATTGATGCACAATAATCACAAATACAAAGTAGAAATGTTATTAAAAACTTTTGTCTTCACCTTGTTCTTTTTCTTCCTTAATTGATACCAAATGTCAGTTATAACACGCAAACTGCGTTTATAACTTAGACTAATAATTACCAAAAATCATTGTTGTAAACTGTATTTATTTCTAATTTTTGCTATTTATGTCTTGAATATATTTTATATTGTTTACTACAAAACTGATGTTGGCGCTGGCCCAGTGGCTACTATTAAGGCGAATAATAATTAATCGGCTCTACCAACGATATTTATGTTTGTACTAGCGACTCTGGGCTTAAGCAATTAATTACTCTTATCAAGGGACTCATCCCGGTGCAGAATGATGTCACGGCATGCAGGCAGAATGTTAAATGAGCCATGTTCGTTTACTATGATTTACCATCGTGATGGAGTTGGAATGATTAGCTAATGTAATACTGCATACAAAATAAGTTCCTGATGCCCACCAAAAAAATGTCATTTTAAAGTGTCGATCAAGACTTGATCAAAACAATTGTTCAAGACAGGTAACGTATCGTTAATGCCCATGATTGCTATTTGCTTCCCAAATAATCCATTAAATTGATAAGCCACTACATCTTAATCTCCTAATAAAGTCTTCTTTGGCAATTTACTTGCGGTTTTTTTCTATTTATTTTGTCGTTTACGTAAAGTTGTGAATTAGTTTTTATTACGTCTTCGCAATGATAATCGTATGTAATTAACACATTTAGTAAATTGCTGATGGTAGGCACTATATTGCTCACAATATACTTATGCTTTAATAGTTACAGAACTAGATATTAAGAATTATGAAAGTACGACGAATAGAAGCGATTGGTAGAAGAAACATAAAAAATGAGGTGAGTGAATGAAAAGTGAATACCTACTATAAAAAAATGGATGTACGCTAATTGTAAAGTTTTCAATGCTCTGGAAAACTTTGAATGAAAAATGAGGCACCTCGTAAATGTACCATTACAAGAACATTGAAGCTACGTTTAATCTCTAAAAAGCAATCGTTAAACCGTATAGAGGGAGATAATAATAAATGTAAAATTTTTCGTAAAAAAAAATTCCCTCAAAAGTTCGTGGAATTACATCTGTTTGCAAATTTTTATTGAAATCGGTTACCAGAAAGTGCGCGAAATCAGAATCATCGCCTAGTTTCCCACACATAGAGGGAGGACATTTTCTTTAAATTTAAATGGGATCAATACTGAGGCACCCTCTTTTCAATGAAAAAGAATCATCAAAACACACACACACACACACACACACACACACACACACACACACACACA